GGAGCACCCACTGCAAGAGACGCAGCAGCCAGCAAACCAGCCACTGGTAGAGACGCAGTTGCAGCTGCTGGTGCCCCGGCACCCACTGCAAGAGACGCAGCCAATAACAAACCAGCTGGTGCTCCAGCACCTACTGCAAGAGACGCAGCCAACAATAAACCAGCCGGTGCCCCAGCACCCACTGCAAGAGACGCAGCCAACAATAAACCGGCTGGTGCTCCGGCGCCTACTGCAAGAGACGCAGCCAACAACAAGCCAGCCGGTGCCCCAGCACCCACTGCAAGAGATGCAGCCAACAACAAACCAGCCGGTGCTCCAGCATCTACTGCAAGAGATGCAGCTGGAGCAACACCAGGTACGAAAAATAAATTCCCAATAACGTTTCTTTCTTTGTTTTTTCATTATCAAATTTTCTTTTTCTCTAGCTGCTGCATCCCAAGGTGCCACTGGTACGGCTGCTTCGACCGGTACATATTTTGAAAAAATAATAACTATGTTGTCTATATGTATATTTAGGTTCGACTCGTCTCTTTCATACAGATGGTGACAATAAAGGTAAACGTTCAATTAAAGATGCTCCAGCAGCATTTGGAAACAAATTAAAAGCATTGTTTCATCGAAAATAATAATAATAATATTTAACTTTTAAAATTAAACTGCTATTTATTTTCTGTTTTTGTATAATTTTTTATTTTTTTTCTGACGACACTATGAAGTTATGTCACCACACTTCAAAATAAAATTAGATAAACTAAATTGAGATTAATCTATGCAAGTACAACTTTACAATAGATTCTCTTTAGTATCAAGTTTACTTCACTAAATATTTTCATAATTATTCACAGCATGTAGTAAAACAATAAGATCACATATATGAAATTTCTGACAATTAGTAGATAAATATTAATATTTAAATGAGTTATATCGATAGAATTTAAAGTCATGAGCTTTTTTAGCGCAAATTCCTATTGAAGTATTTGTTCGCTTCAAGAATCAATTTACTAAGTCTTCAAGAAGCATTAAATTGACAAGTGGTCAAATCCCAAAGAGAAATATAATATATATATATATTTTTATCTAAGAATTCTTATCATCTATCAAAAAGATTATCATTACAGGTGATCATTCATTGAAGAAGATATTTAGTCACTAATCATGAGATAAACAAAATTCAATTGAAATACAATGTAAAAAAACAACAGGAATTTACTATAGAGTTATTTGTGAATCTATAGTAGCGATTTTTCATAAAGATATTAGTCTAGTATGTTACAAGATAATATAATACAACAGGGAAACATACATTATTACAAATATACAAGAAAGTTTGTCAATAAGGAAGCAAGAAAAAAATATCCGAGACGGAAAAAGAACGAACACATATCGATAATAATTTCTATCTTATAAGACGTCACAAGTACTTCCTCTCATATCTATTTGATGATATTTTTCTACACATTCTGACAGTAATACATGTTCTTATTATTGAAAGACATATTTGATGATCAACAAAAGTTTCTTATAAATATAATAGATTTGAAATCTGACAAAATTACATCAATTCATATAAGCATCTTCTAAACATTTCGGAATTTACTAGATTACTTGTTATAAGTCTATTATTTGTATCATATAGATTTCAAATTTTTTATTAAATCAATAAAAAAAAATGAAAAAGAACAAGGTATGAATAAAAAGCAAAACGATTAGAAAAATGTGCATTCAATTGCTGGGATTATATCTATTAACTAAAAAAATTTGTTCCCCACAAAATTTTGTTTTTCTTGATAATCATTCAACATATCATCATATACACAAATTAGCATAAATTTATAGATTAAAAAAAAACACGAGATATTATTTTTACAGACTGTTCGAAAATATTTAGCTATGACTTATTCTAAGAATTAAAAAATATTATTTTAATAACTACAGGTTAAGAAATAAAAACAAACTGGTAAAAAATTGTAAAACAAATGTTTCTCTGAGTGTAATAGCTTAAGTTTTAATTGCGCGTTTTTTATTTTCATTATCTGATGATCGATTTACCGTTCGTACAAGTCTAAGAAAAACAAAATAAAGAAATGAAAAATTATTCTTTAAATTTCTTACGGATCTTTTGTATGATCATGATCGTCGTCCTCTAATGCTGCTGCTTTTCTTGCTGCTTTTTGACGTTTTTCAAAGATTAATATAATAAAAACTAATGCAAGTACAACAGTAACAATACCAAGAAATGGCCAAAGTGCTGCATATCGATCTAAATAAAATATACCGAAATAGTTTGTTAAATCTATAAAATTCCTTCTCAAACAAACCTTTCACACGTAATAAAACTGTGAATGACACATCATTAAGCGTACATCGATAGTATCCACGATGATTTTTGTTAACGTTTTCAATTTCGATTTTATTATCAGTATTACTAGCAGGTATAACATCTTCAGGTAAAACCGAATCTGCAGTAAAATGTTCATCTTTACTATATTGCCATTTTATTTTTTGCGATTTCTGCTCTTCTAAACGTGCTGGTAGGATAATGCATGTAAAGCTAATTTTTTGACCAGCATCACGTCTTACTGATGCATGTGGAGCATCTAATTTTTCAGTTGGATTTTCTGTTTCCATACTTTGTGGTGATGGGTTAACTAGAATTCGTAAAATAATTCGATATTTTAAATGAATTTAGCAAAATTTTGTTTTACGCATTATTTGTCTAAAACGACATGCTGGTGGTTTTTCAAAACCCTTTTTATTTGTTCGTACAGACCAAAATTTTATCTCATGATCGGCTTGAACTAAAGCGAAATTAAATAGTTTGGTGTTTTTCAAAAACATTTTTATATTTACCAAAAATTTTAATGGTTAATATTGACTCCTTATTAGTACTTTTAACAACATAATGTCCAGGCTTCTCACTGCTTACAGTTTCATTATCTCTATACCAATCTACAAATTGACCTTCTCCATCAGCACCGGTATATTCACATTTTAATTCAATTGAACGTTTAAGAATAGCTGTAAGAGGAGCATTTCGCTGCGGTGTTCCCCTGTATTGTGGTTGTTGAGCATTTACAAAAATAAAAATATTTAATGCTAAATTTAGAAACAAAATGAAATAAAAAGTAGTTTGAAGGAAAAATTTCATACCTATGAAACATATAAGACCTAATTGTATTTTTGTCATGATTTTGGGAATAAAAGATTATGATAAAGAATATAATCCAATATGAATAGATTGTTGTTGTTATTATGATTATTGTTTATTTATTGAATTGTTTATCGACTTATTCGATAATCTCTTGCTTCAAATATATATTTTTTTTACTTAATTTATTCAAAAAAAATTAATTAAAAATAAAATGTAAATAAAAAATAATATTTTCTTGCTTATGATTGGCTAATATATTAACCAATGATATGCAAAGATAATATTTTTGTTGTTTACATCATACAGGAGTTGATAATTTTCGTCACGAGCATCGTTAACATTTATAATGAATAATTATACTAAAATTATATTTCGATTACAACCAAATGGTCGACGCCTTCTTCAACAACAGCATAAACAAATTAGTTCACCTGTACCTTTAGTAAAATTTTGATAATTTAAACTTTGAAAACATAGAATATTTATTTATTTTTTATTGTTATTAGCTAGTAACTTCTATAAGAGAAGCAAGTGGTGGTGCAACACTTGAGTATGATGCTCCAAATGCTTATAAACTTCATATGCTTGAACAAGGACCAAGTACTCATGTATCATGTAATCGTGAAGAAGGTCTAGATTATTATAAAAAAATGCAGGTTATACGACGAATGGAAGCATCAGCTAATAATATGTATAAATCGAAATTAATTCGAGGTTTTTGCCATCTTTATTCAGGACAAGTTAGTTTATATAAGATAATTAAATATGTATCTATATTTGTGAATTGTTTATCAATATAGGAAGCTGTTTGTGTTGGAATGAAAGGAGCAATGGATAAGAATGATTCATTAATTACTGCTTATCGTGCACATGGTTGGACCTATATGATGGGTGTATCAGTAACTGGTATACTTGCTGAATTAACAGGTAGAAAAACCGGTTGTGCAGAAGGACGTGGTGGTAGTATGCATATGTATGCACCAAATTTTTATGGTGGAAATGGTATTGTCGGAGCTCAAGTACCACTCGGTGCTGGAGTATGTTAAATCACATTTTGAAATTAAGTAAACTGGAATACTAAATTCGTTTTTTTTTGTATATTTACAGGTAGCTTTCGCACATAAATATCGTGGAGAATCGAATGTATGTGTTGCATTGTATGGTGATGGTGCAGCTAATCAAGGCCAAGTTTTTGAAGCATATAATATGGCTAAATTATGGTTATTACCATGTATTTTCGTTTGCGAAAATAATGGTTATGGTATGGGTACAAGTTCAGCACGTGCAAGTGCTAATCCAAATTTTTATAAACGATGCGAATATATTCCTGGTATATGGGTTGATGGTATGGATATTCTTGCTGTACGTGAAGCAACAAGATTTGCTCGAGAATGGTGTACATCAGGAAAAGGTCCTATGATTATGGAAATGGCAACATATCGTTATTTTGGTCATTCAATGTCCGATCCAGGAACAAGGTAATGATAACTAAATATGAACATAAGAGATAGTTCTAAAAGCATAACAGAAGAGATTGATTACGAAGACAGAGGTTTGCATTTATAGTGTTTTGAAATATGATGTTGCAAATTAGGAACTTTTCGGAAATCAAAATAGAAGCATATTTTGGTCTTTGTAGAAGAAGACATTTTGCAGACAAGATTTCAGAAGTAAGAAATGTGACACCTTTTTGAATTAATGTCAAAAGATATGCATCTAGTGCTGAATCATTATACATAAAAACAAGGATGTTAAATATGATTAGTTTGATATGTATTTAATGTTATTATAGTATAGTAATCAAATGTGCGCTCTTTTATATAAGCTTGATGAAATTCAGTATATGTTTCGTATGAGATCATAGAAATGTATATCGAATTCAATGTTATCATCTAATGAAGATTACAATATTTTGTTTGAACTGTCCCTCGATTAATCTTTTGAGTCACTAATGAAGTACTACTGCATAATATATGTGTGAAATGCTAATGATATTCATCATTCAAGGAGAAAGAAGACAGCTGTCTTCAATATATTAAAATCACCTGAAATAGTTTTCATTCGCTTAGATTTACTCAAGAATATCGAAAATGATTTGTATCAGCTTGAATGCATCTGGTAGTTAATCTAAATCAATATATCATATCTGAGAAGAAACTGTCAATTAAGAACCTTAGGAGTTACGATAGAATCTGTATAGTCATTCGAATAACTCTTTTCTTTATCTGAAGTTAATCAAACTTATTCTTTCCAGCTTTATCTACATTGTACTATCATAAGATCTTTAACATTAATATCATTTTTTTTGCTTTTTATTAAACATCGTACGTTTATATTTTAGTTATCGAACTCGTGAAGAAATTCAAGATGTACGTAAAAGTCGTGATCCAATCACATCATTTCGAGAAAAACTTATTCAAGCAAAATTAGCAACTGAAGATGAATTTAAAGTATATTTTATTACTTATTTTTTCATTTGAAATATTATTTACATGATCGTTTTTTTTGTATAGAATATTGATATTGAAGTTAAAAAAATAATTGAAGATGCTGAAAGTCATGCTCAGAATGATTCAGAATTACATGTTGATGAATTATATTCAAATGTTTATTCTCAACCACCACCAAATTTTAAAATTCGTGGATGCGATAATTTTACATTTAAAGAAATCTCTAAATGATCATATGTAGAACACAACCTTTTCTGTCTTGTTCTGTGTTTATTTTAAATTATATTTTTTTGTTCTCGTCTCCGTCATATATATTTAGTAGAAAATGAAGAACTGAACAGTCCATTACTTTAGATAAAAAAGACAACAAAAAACATGTACCTCTATTGAATACTTTTAGATAAATAATGAGTACAAATACTGAACAACAAGAACAACAACCAATCGTGGAATCTCCACCTAATGTTTCAACTGAAACAGAAAATACGCCTGCAGTATCATCAACTGATGATGATTCAAATGCTGCACCTGCTGCTACTACTGCTCCTGTTGATGAAGTTCCCGTTGTTGAAGCGGAAAAACCTTCGGCATCAGCATCATCCGCATCATCATGGTTTAATAGTCTTGGTTTATCACCAAATTTAACAAGTCAATTAACAAATTTAAGTTCATCAATAATGCAAGTTACTTCAAAAGTGAGTGCAGCTGCTAATACACTTGTTCAAAAAACATTACCCCAACGACCTTCATCACCTGATCAAAATGAACAAACAGAAGCAGCAGCAGCAACAGCAGAAAAAACTGAAGAAAATCAAAAAGTTGAACAAACCACTGAAGAAAATACAGTAGAATCCGGCATCAATAAAGATCTAAATAGTATGTCATATTACTAGATATCAATGTATGAATTATTCATATGATTTAGGTATTTTTAATGAGCTGAGTTCAACTGTAATGAAAAGTGCCCAACAATTAAAACATGCTGTTGAAGAAAAATCATTAATTGGGAATTTTACAAAAGAACATGAAAAATTCTTAATAGAAAAACGATCACAACAACGCCGTGAAGAAGCAGCAGTTCCACCATGGGTTGGTTATGTTGAAGAAGAAGAAATGAAAAAACAAATTTTTGCTCTTTCAAAGGTTAATAATAATAAAATTTACTATAATCATTATTAATAAATTTTTTTGTTTATAGGAAAAACGAAATTTCTTACGAAATCCACCACCAGGTGCTAATTATCATTTTGATATGACTTCCGTCTATCCTGTTGCATTAGCAACTCTTGATGTTGATGAAAATTTAAAACAAATGCGTTTTGATCTTGTACCAAAACAGTAAGATTAAGCTTTTTATATATGTATAATCATTCGAATAAAAATATTTTTATTTAGAATTAATGAAGAAGGATTTTGGCGTAATTATTTTTATCGCGTTAGTTTGATAAAACAATCGACACAATTATCAGCTTTAACACATGAAAATCGTATATTATTATTATTGTTTAACTTTTCTATTGTAAATATCTATTGTTTTTTTTCTAGAAAATACTCAATCAAATGATGATACACATGGTTCTTCAAATGAACGTAGTAAGTTGGAAGAAAGAATATGATGATCTTTCATAGATTAGTTGAACAGTTTTCGAGATTTGTTTTTGACTTTTCTATAGATCGTAAACTGTCCGAATCTCAAGATAAATCTCAATATGCTAATCAAGATTTTGTTAGCGAAGATTATGATACATCGAATGTTAATATGGATGATATTCGACGTGAAATTGAACAATTAACAGTTACTAAAAAGAATCCAAATACGAACAAAGCTGCTAGTCCAGGTAGAATAGAACTGAACAATTTTTCATATATATATAAATATTTATATTTAAAGATGCAGATGATAGTGAATGGGAAAAAGCATTGGCTGAAGATCTTGATAATGTTTCAGCCGAAGAACTTGAAGCACAAATTAATCAAATGTTAGAAAACGATAAAAATTAAAAATTTCATTTTTTGCTTTTCAATGTACATTTTCAAATGCCTATATACAAACATTCGTTTTTCTCGATATTCTATACTAAAAAAACAGTGATACGCTACATTTTCTTTATTCTCGTTTTATTCTGTTCATTGTAAATACATTTTATGATAACAAACGTTTCGAAATAAAAATATGATAATGCATATACGCAACAAAAACTCATTAGAGAAAGTATAAATTGGTATGTTTATAATTTTAGAGAAAAATATCTATAAAAAACAACGAGATGAGTGGAGCAAATGGTAGAAAATTGAATGGTCTGTGATATTCGAAAAATATACTAAATAAAATTGATCGTTTGTTTATTTGAATAGCACCAATACATAATAATCGAAATGAAGGTGTGCTTTGTTTTCCTTTCGTTATATACAATGATTTATTTCGCGGAGTGTTTTAGGCATAAATCCGAGAAGGAGTTCTGTTCGATCAAGTATGAGAAAGGATTGGTTTTTCTCTAAGATGACATAGTTTTCATTTAGAATCAGTAGATTCATCAAGATTGCGTCGACAACAAAGGAATGATATACATAAATCTTTTAGTGAAAAACATTCGCTAGAAGAATACGGATACTATTTTAATAGTAGGAAATAATTTTTAAGCATTAAACTAACCAGTAATCTGATTTTCTTAGATAATAGACTTGTTTCCATTGACAATGATAAACCATTTGAATTTAATATGTACTCAAATGAAGACGATAATCAAAGACGATATCATTCTATTGGTAGATTAGTTGATAATCACGTATATACTCTTCTAGAGAGAGTATGTGAATTACAACGTATAACAATACCAGTATGTATAATTATATACATTGATATGTAACAAAGAAAAATTGTGTTTAATAAGATTGATCCAAGAAATAATGAACCAACTGGATTCTTCTTTGCTAGTGATGATATTCTGTCAGCCAAGTTTCTTATGATAATAATACATGGTACAGGAGTTGTACGAGCTGGACAATGGTCACGAAAGTAACTTATTTTAATTAGTTTATTCCTAATTGTAGTTGTTTATTAGATTAATTATCAATGAAAATTTGTCAGTTGGTTCACAAATTGATTATATACTAAGAGCTAAAGCACATGGTTATGCAGTTATTGTTACTAATACGAATTTAAATATTGATGAATCTTTCCAATCAATTCATAATAAGCCACGCTATATTCGTGTAAGCATGAAGAAATTTATCAGATTTATTATGCTATATGTAGTTATTAGCTTGTATCAACACGCGTATACATTTACTTAGATAATATCAAAATAAATCTCCTCCTTCCATTACCCACAAATGCATATATAGATGAAAGAGAAGAAGCAAGAATAACAATGTAAATAAAGGAATTGAGGGTTGACTGATAGTGTACATCATCTCTGACAATAGTCTAATCATATGATGATATAGATTCTTGTAGTATTCGTTGACGAAGAAGTAAATAGTTTTTGCGTGTAGGTAACAGTAATGGTAGGAAACGAATACTTTCAATGGTAATAAGTACAATTATTAATGTTAATATACATGGTATAAATGCTGATGTAACTTCATTTTCATTTCCATTGCGAACCTGAAAAAATTTCATGATAGAAAAATATCTAAGGTTTTCATATTAATCTCTGATCTATTACATATGTCAGTAGATCAATCTGATATGAAATGACAAAGTATAAAACTCGAAAAATAATACTTACTCGAGCACAAGTAAAATATTTGACAGATTCACTTTGAGATTGATAACTCAATTCACGTCGTTTTCTTAGAACATGTTGAGAAAATGACCAATGTGTAAGATTATTATTTAAACTGAAAGATTTTCTATTCGTTAAATTAAATTCTGATTGATTATGATTAATACGATGAATAAATTGTTGATTTACTATTTTATTCGTATATGTAATAAAAATAAAGAATAATAAAATTGAATTAATGTCTGTGAATAAAAACATAAAAGATTAAAATTTATGTATAGAAAACTCGATTCGCGCGTAACGACAAAAAGAATTTTTATATTCATATTTTAGGGTAGTTCATGTGCTGAAGAACATGCATGTTATATATGGGAAAATTTTATTCAACGAAGTTCTGCTCCTTATATTTGTATCGTAGCACATTCATATGGAGGTGCTGTAGTGTTGAAATTGGTTTGACATATAAGATTATTTTTTATATTTTATATTAGTTAATTGTTCTTTCTAGGCATCTCAATATATGTCCGAGTTTGATAAACGTGTTTTTGCTGTAGCATTAACTGATTCACCTATGAGCACCTATGCAAAATATTTTAGTTCAAATGTTTTAAGGATGTTACAAATGGTATTATTTAGTAAAAAATAAATTAAATTGAAGAAAATTTTCTTATTTAGAGAACAATCAATTGGATTGCTAGTCCAGTTCAAGTCAATACAGATGTAGGTATTCGTGAATATGGTCGATTACGATCTGCAGGTGAGTTATAATATAGAAAAATGTATCATTTCTTTATTTACTAAAAAAGGGCATACATCCCATGAATGGACATCATATACAGCGTTTGATGGTATCTTTCAATTTCTCAAAGAAGAACGTCAAAAATTAGAACGATATAAATATTAACTCAAGGAAAGCTGAAAATCTTCAATCAAAATATTATTTTTTGATACATAATTTTTTATTTTTTTTATTTTTCCAATGCAACTTTTCCTATATATATATATTTTATCATAAATAAATTGATAAGTTTTTACATTTAACGATTATTGACTTTCATTTGATTTGACTACAGGTGAAAGTAAAAATAACAAAATTATTTTTATATGAGAAACATTAGCTTTTATAAATCACCTGTCTTTTTTTTATACGACTATAAATATTGCGATCAGAATCGGAATTTGATATAGACCTCGATTTATCATTACAATATACTATTTAAAGGATGAAAAAATAATTGCTTGGAGTCATCTTTCTTTCTTTAATAACAAAGATTAATGTTAATTTTACGAAGGCAACAAATTTTATTGAATATATCTCTGTTAGCTACCCTCGATATACATTAAATTTTTGACGGATTTTAAATGTTTCTTAAGCAGTGCTACCCATCACTTGAGGATGAACTAAATTCAACCAACGTTCTGTGTTTGCACCGGGTCTGGTAACTCGAGGTTGAGTTACAGAGCTTTGTGTAGTTGATCCTGATGCAGTACTGCCTTGCACTGATGTACTACTTCCTTGTGCTGATGTAGTACTACCTTGTGCTGATGTACTGGTGCCTGGTGCTTGAGTTGTTGAATCATTTGCAGATCTTAAAGAACGACTCACTAAACGATGAGTTGAAGTTTGACGTGTGCTTGTAGAGGGACGCGCAGTGCTAGTACTATGATGAGCAGTGCTTGTACTATGACGAGCAGTGCTGGTACTGTGATGAGCAGTGCTTGTACTGTGACGACCAGTGCTTGTACTATGACGAGCAGTGCTAGTACTATGACGGGCAGTGGTTGTAGATGGACGAGCAGTGCTAGTACCAGTGGGTTTCAAACAACATTGACCCATCATTCCACTCATACTGAGTTGGCATTCATGTGAACTTGGACAATCACGATGATCCATACTACCACAATTGTGACCAAAAATTGGTTCATAACAAGTACTAGGTGATGTACGACATGCGCAATATGGACAACCATTTGCATCAACTTCGAAACCAAATTGGCATGCCATCATACACATGACTGGATTGCATGTGGCAGCATTTGTTGTTGTAAAAACAGCAAAGAAAACAGCAGAGAGGATACCAATGGAATACATGATTATCGTTCTATTAATTGTTTTTTTTAAAAAGCAACTTAATATACGATAAACCAGTCATTTTATACGCTGTCATTTGACACTATCAGATGTTTATATTCACAGACTGATAATATTTAAGATTATACATGATTGTATTAATGACATAAATGTTGAGATAAGTCAAAGTAAATACGTTTATTTTTTTCTTGTAAAAAACGAAGGCGTAATACACTCCAAATTATTATACGATTACTTAGACTTTAACCTTGAAAACAACAATGAAATTCAAACAATAGCTAGTTAGTTGCAATCTAAAGATTGACTCTTTTCTAAAACAAAGTATCTGGATGACTGATAATCTATTATCATACGAAAGAATCTAAGTTAAAAAGGTTTAGTAATTCCATCAATTATTCTAATGGATTCATCGAATCTTATTAAATAGAGTAGATTTAATCCATAGAATTATAATAAAAACCACTTTTTACATTATCTTTATAAACTTGTTATTAATAAATTATCATTTTTAACTACGAGGTAACATTATCTATTCCATTCGTTTCTATTCATAAGTGACTTATCTATTATTACAGACTTCAATTCTCTAAAGATATGCAAGATATATATCTAAGAAAACTATTTATTAACAATATATAATAATTTAATTTTGAAAATAGAATTATCTTTTAAGTATCATATCAATTCTTTTCTTTATTTTTATTATTAGGTGTAAATAATTTATATAATTATATCCATCATGCATCATTACCAATAAATTTAGTCATATAGTATTTTGTTTATATGTAATGTCATTAGTTGATGCACTTGGCTGCAAATTTCCTTTTTTTTCTTGATCAACCTTTTGGCATAGAACTATTGTCAAGGATTCTCATTTTGTCCTTTTGCTTGCCTTGAGTGATTCTTATCATCTTGTTCATCGTCATCAATTTGAGTAAGAATAGAAGAAAAATCTATTTGTAGACATTCTCTCTCTCTCTTTTTTTTTTAATATGTTATCCTTCATCTTATTGCTTATTTATATATATAAGTAAATAAATAAATAGAAAGAAATGACAACACACCTTTAGGTTATTATTCAAGTTAACTACTAGTAATATTAGTAGTACATACTATTCAACAGCTTCTGTCAGGGTTAATGTAGATAGATATCTTGATGATTCGATAAGTGCTTTGTAGAACTACGTAACATATTTCTGTTTGTTTTCATTCCCTTAACGTTGAAAACAATCTGTCGGATCCATTTGCATCTCAGTTGTCATCATTGTAACTACTTAGATGGAACAGAGACAGAACGTTTCTGTCACTCGGGCATTTGACAGAAGTATCATGCTGCGATATATGATCGTGTCATATACAAGAAGGAAGTTATCTATAGGGAAATCTTATTTTTTTAAAGAACCTTTACATAGACATGATGTCATACTAGATATGTATGTATACGTATTTTCATTAATAAACTGCCACTACAAAGATCAATATCCATATTGTATATACATTTTTGAGCATAACTATATAATCGCATGCTTTTCTTTTCTTCTTACTTAATATGTACAACTTAGTTGTTCATCATTCATTGTGTCAGAATATGTAGCATAGTCAAAAAAAATGTGAAGAAACATTTGTGCTTCTTTACCTCATATACACATACACTAATGACTCTCGTACCATATGTATATGTGTATTTGTGTCTCGTATGCTTACATATATGTATACAATTGGCTTGATATTGAGCTTTAACATACCACTCGGTTGTCTACCTCTAGTGTTTATTTACAAAGTGTGTGATATGATGAAACCTAGCAGGCGGTCCATGACGATCTTTTTTTATTCAATGTGAACTTTGATTATTCTTATATTGTGTGTATGTGTGCGTGTGTTATTTTCACTAGTATTTGATTATGTATACACACCTAAAGAACATCATTATCATCATCATCATCATCATCATTATCATCATTACCGTACTTGCATTAAAAGAACACATAGATGAGGTGCTTAAAGATAGAGAAAAAGAAAAGAAAAGAAAAGAAAGAAAAGGAAAAAGAACTGATGGACAATCAGTAACGTTTGCCACTTGCAATGATTCAATTTGCAAATCAGTCTTACTTCCTTTCCAATAGATAGATTGCATCGTCTTCCATCAATCTCTTCTCTCTTGTCAATTATCTTAATATCTTGATACCTTTAACTCAACGCACCATTCTTTCACACTTCTCATCTCTCATTTCTAATTCTATACTATCTATCGTTAACGTCTGCCTTTTCTTTTTCTTATATATTTTTTTTTCTTTTGACTCTTATATTTCTGTTTCTTCTTTATCCGAAAATTATTTATCATTGAGTGCAATAGATAATTAGTGGAACTTATGCTTGTCTTTACTTATGTATGTGCTCGTGTTTCTATATGACGATATCGTACGTATAACGGCAACGTATATTTTGTGTGTGGCACCACATGCCAAAGAATCAGTAGTAAAAATGTATAGAAGCAACAGCAGCAATAATAACAGAAAAGTCATATCGAAAAGCATTGACGATAGAATAAGAAAGGGGAAAGAAGAGAGCGGGGGACGGGAGAGAAGAGAAGAGATGAAGAAAGGAGGGGGGGGGGAGGAGTTAGTAGAGAGAGAAAAAAGAAATCAACCGCTTGCATCGTATGTAATCATTCGTGCTATACTAGTATTGCAGCTGGTAGTAGTGTCGAGAGAAATTTTCTCCCTCATTTCTCTCCTGCTCGTTTGATCATCCATATAATCACGATCACCCCCAACAGTGTCTTGCACAGTAGTAACAAATAATAACAATAAATGAGGTGTGTAGTGTTAACAGAAGGTAAAAGTAAGAAAAAGTAATTATAAAGTTTTTTTTTTACTTGAATCAATGTTAGGTGAATAACAGAACAAGGTCATGTGTCCAAATTGATAATCACTCGGGCAATTAGGTTTTCTTACATATAATCAGCTTATAGTAGAAAAGGAAAAAGACTCGGAAAGTGGTTGACCTTTCCTTATTCATATACAATACGTATAAAGGCGGTGTGTTTGAGTATGTCAAATTGTTTTTCTGGCAATAGAGTAATGGAAGACAGTTAATTATGAGAATAATATGACACTACTTCCGTTACAAAACAAGTCGTACGATCTAGAGATTTATTATTATACAAATTTGTTTTTTTTTTATTCTTCTTTTGTCTTTAGATTATATAAAAAAAGAAAAACTTAAATAATGTTATCATTATGTAATCAAGCATTTGTATTAATAAATAATATAATCATATCATTTATTTTTCAATTTGATTTAACGTGAAACTATTTCTTTCTCAACTTACATATATATATCTATATTTAATAGAAATGTTCATAGTATTTATTGTTATTTATTTGATTTTATTTCTTTTTAATTTAACATTATCATCATCATCAAATACATTAGTTTTTTCAGCTGGACCGAATTCATATGTTGCATTCGATTCATGGCGTCCATGTCTTAATGGTTATGTTCGCTTTGATATAAGAACAAATGCACCTGATGGTACACTGGCATATATAGATGATCGAGGAAAATTTGATTTCTTCTATTTAAAATTAATCGAAGGTAAATTACGTCTTTTATTTAATTTGGGAAATGATCGTCAAGCTTTAAATGTTAATATGAAAATCAATGATGATCAATGGCATACAATTTTAATTAAACGTGATGGACAAACAACAATACTTAGTGTTGATCATGATTTAGCAACAAATTCAACTATAACACATTCAGAAGATTTATATTTTGGTGGATCAACACATAATGAATATCAAGCATCACCATTTTATTTTGGAGGTAAAGGTCGTTTTGCAATGAGAATATCTAGATTAGTGTATTATACATATATATACATGTATAATAAGGTTTTCGCTAAGGTCATTTCGAGAAAAAAAACAGAATGTCATAATAAATAAACATAAAATTAGTAATAACTGTCAGATGACTTTTGCAAGTTATAATCAAGAAATCAATATCTATTTGAATCATAATTATTAGACATTTCTTTTTCTTTTTATTTGATTTTATTTGAATCTATTAACGGAAAGACAATCATTCTTTCCTTCCGAATAGGATAAAATATATAAAGAGAAAGAATAGTTTATCAATCTTTCTTGTTAGAAATAAAAGAAATTCTTAAATATTTGAAATCTACTAAAATATTCTATGACTTAGTTCAATGAGACATTTATATGTTGAATAATAATTGATGATTTTAGTCAAACAAATTTTAAGTACTCAATAAATTATATAATAGTACAAAATTTTTAATATTCATGATTATTTTATTTGATGAAAATTTTTTTCCAGGTATTCCAGCAGCTTTAGAACGGCCCAGTAGTGGAAATTTATCCTCATTTGATGTCTACATGCAACCACGTTTTCGTGGTCGATTGCGTAATATAATCTATAAAAATTGTACCAATTCTCTTCTTGTTCAACCTGTACATTTACAAATCTCTGGTGGTGTTTCTATAATACCAAATCAACAATGTTCAAGTCAATCTTGTGGTATTGGTATATGTTTAATAACTGATACAGATTATAAATGTTTATGTGATGAAACTGATTATCAAGGTGAACGTTGTGAATATGAACGTAAACCAAATGAATTAACATTTAATGGTAAAAAATTTTTACATTATAATCTTAAACAATCTATATTAAGTTTAAATGAATTAATACAATTTCAATTTAAAACAAATCATTATAATGCATTGTTATTTGAATTAATTAATCAACAAATTTATATAAAATTAAAACAAGGACAAATTATAATTGAATATCGTTATAATAATCAATGGTATGAATCTTCAACAAAAGATCTTTATCTTATTGATAATCAATGGCATTATGTACAAATAAAACGGAAATATGGACAAATATCTATGATGGTTGATGAATATCATTTACAATTAGAAAATGATGTTAAAATTGATCAATTATTTAATATAACAGATATTTATATTGGAGGAAATAACGATGAAAATTCTGAAAAATTCTATGGTTGTTTAAAAGATGTATTGCTCATCCTAAATGATAAAACTTCTATTGATATAAGTAAATATTTTTTAACGAATCAATCAAATGAAAGTCAATTACGTTGTTCATCATTATTAAATCCAATTGAATTTCTTATATCATCATCATTTATATCATTTGAATTACCTGAACATGTACAACAAATGGTTAGTTATCAATTGAATATATCATTTCATTTTCAAACATATTCATCTGATGCAATTATTTTATATGGTAGTAATAAATTTAATGAAGATTTTCTTGGATTAGATTTAATTGATGGATTTTTTTATATAACAATTAATATGAATAAGAAAAAACAAAGACAAGAATTATTTCAACAACGTCTTAATGATGGACAAACACATTTTATACATTTACATGTACAAGGTTATCAAGGTGGTTTAGAATTTAATATAACAATGAATTATCGACAGAATAATCGAATTGTTATTCGCGATTCATTATCAAAAATTCAAGTAAGTTTAACAGATTATAAAAAAACAAGGGATCTATGAAATATTATTGATTTAATTATTTATCAAGGTGAAAGGAAATAATAGATTTGATTTATTAAATTTTCGAGATATTTAATCAATGAAACCAACCGTCAGAGTAGATTTCCGATGTAAAACCCAATCATTTTCTATCCTATATATTACACGTTGACTTGAAAATAAAATGTCATATCACAAAACACGCAGAAAATCTTCTTCTTTTATTTAAAAGCAATGCGTCTATCTAATGATACGGAAGTCACGCATAGTATTTAAAATTGTTGTCCTTGATTTGCCCATAGGATATAATATAACATGTTATTTAAATACAAAAATATAGTATATCTTTCCAAATAACGGAAATACACAGTAACATAAGGAAATGTTAAAAAAAACATGTTATGTTTTCCATTTCTCTTGTATTTTTCATCGTATTATGAATATATATTAAAAACTGAAAGTAAAAATGATAAAATTATTGAGTTATACAATCAAATATATGATTGATTTAAAAGATGATATATATATTGCTTCAACATTTGTGTACATAGCAGTTGTAGACGACCCTGAGTTATCCATCTGGAGAATTACTATAAGCAAGGACAAACAAATTCCAGTAGGCTTCAATATTGATAGATATATAATTAACGAAGACGAACTACAAATTTGAGTTCTTATGTTATAATAAATAGTTTGACAATAATAATTTTCAACAAATCTCTACGGGGGTCATCTTGATTGATGTGTACTCGTGTGTTCTTTTAACAGCAACAACAAAAAAACTAATAAAAATAGAACAATAATTATTTTCTTGTTAATTAATAATGAAAGTTAATCTATAAATAATCAATCATAGTTAATCTTTTAACAATATAAAATAAAAAATTTATTTATATTTTTAGTTACATACATTAACTATCGGTGGTATTAATCCATCAATTCAATGGTTACCAAATAATTATTGGTCTGGTATAATGCATCGTGGATTAATTGGTTGTTTTTCTGATCTTGAATTAAATAATGAAGCAATTAATTTAACCAAATATATTAATTATACTAATAATAATATAACACCAAAAAGTGGTTCATGTTCAATATCATCAGCGTTATCTTCGTCATTATCAAAACGTGAATGTTCATGTGAACATGAAGGTGAATGTCGATTAAATAATGGTGGAACATGGTCATGTGATTGTTCAAAAACTGGTTATACCGGACGACAATGTGAACATGCGACTTATCATATTGATTTAAATAAAATACATATATTTGAACTTAATACGAATATACAATGGAGTGAACAAATTAATGATATTGCATTTGGACTTCAGGTATAGAATCATCATTCGAGATAATTTCATATAGATAGATCTATTTTAGGCTACACATGATCAAGAAAATTTCATTCAATTTCGTCCATGTCGTCAAACAATGAAATGTGATTCAATCGATTTTTCAATTCGTAATGGTTTATTACATATAAATTTTAATTTATCAAATATAGCAATAAATATATCAGGTGAATATTCATTTCTACTTGATAATCAATGGCATTATATACATTTACATCGTATTGATACAAAATTATTATTACATATTGATCATCATATAGCTCAACAACGTTTAAATATAATTGAAACAAATCTATCATCATTATCTACCATATGGTTAATATTAAATGGTAATAAAAATATACGTATTGAAGATATACGTTTATATGATCAATCATTAAATACGAAGTTTTTCTTGAATAATCAATATGAACAAATTCAATTAAAATATCGACCATGGAAACCTTTAAATTCAATATCATTCTATGATCAACAAGATGCTTATATAACAATACAATTAAATGATATATTATGTCAAGAATGTGAATTAGATACAATTTATTTTGATTTTCGTACAACAGAATTAACTGGTGTCATTTTATATGCTAATATTCAAACGACTAATTCGAAAATAAGGTATTAGAAGAAGAAAAAAACACCCCCTCCCTGAAAGATAATATCTTTTTTTCTCACTCAATTGGGAATAGAAGAAAACAGATTGTATCAAGAGAATATATCATAAGTATGCAGTAAATAGATTAAGAACAAGGATAATAACGAATAATCTTATAATATATACTCTGATAATAATTAAAGATAGAAGAATGTTATTAGAAAATGGAAACTACTCTATAATCGTTTGTGTTATTCTATATGAAAGAAAAAAAGCTATCATCCTAAAATAGATTATTAAAGAGTACTTATGAAATATGAAGTATTATTAGAAAAAATAAAGAAGTTTTTTGTCTCCTAAGATATTTGTTTAATAACAGAACACAAAAAATAACAAATTGTTCATCAAGGACATTTTCTGAAAAAAACTAATTTGTTAATTAATCATTTTGAATTTTACTCTCAATGAACTCATCATCGAAATGACTTCATTGTAAAAATCTCATGATCGTTCATTAATATGCCATTATCATTTTTCTTTTTTTCCATCTGATGGAATCATCTGGTGCTCGACATATTTAATTGAAAAGAAAGAATAGACTTAATTTAAACTCAGAAATCATATGAACTAGAGTTATAATCGATCCGATGGAGTTTTCCTCGATCGGCCACGACTGGTCAAGTTAAGTGAGCTTCAAATTTAAAGGTTTCAACAACTTGTAGCTTGTAGCCGTGTGCTTTTTTTCTTGAGCATCACCAGTCGACTCACCACAGTTCTGAGTATCTATTAGAGCAATCAAAAACAGATGATACAGTTTTTCGCGAAAACTTCGACACCCGTAAACTCCAAATTTGACCGTCACAACTCTATTTTGAAGAATTACTTTTTCTTTGCTTATATTATATGTTCAAATACTAAAATAAATCGTTTTTTTTTGTTATTCAAGATATTCTATGGAGAATAATTTTGATAGAGAAAGTCAATATTTAATGATAAAATTAGTTGATGGTCAATTACATTTAATTGTTGTTATTGCTTCTTTACATGAAGATGAAGATGAAATTCATCAAATTCAAACACCAATACGTCTTAATGATGGTCATTGGCATCATATATCATTATATCGTACAAGTGATCATCATTTAGAATTAATTATTGATTCACGTGAATATTATTTATTAACATCAATACATTTTATTGATACAATTTATTTTGGACGTCCAACATTTCTTTCATCTGATCATGTTAATACATTAAAAACATGTTTAGCATCATTAACAATAAATAGTCGTTCAATAAATTTACGTGAATATATTAAAACAAATTCACAAATACGTAATGATTGTTTTCTTGATTCACAATGTCCATTACGACATTGTTTAAATACAGGTAGTTGTCTTGATCGTATTAAATGTGATTGTCAACATACAAGTTTTCAAGGAGAATTTTGTACAGATTTAAAAATTGGGTATTTTTTTAATGAATATACATCAGGCTTAATATTTGATCAACCATATCGAACTGATAAAAAATTTTCAAATTATAAAATATCATTTGGTATTGTGACAAAAATGCTTACAGGTGAAATCATACGTATAAGTGATCAACTACAAATTGAATTATATCGCGGACATATAAGAATAAAATTAGCTGGAAATATAAATGATGATAGTGATTTTATACAAAATGATATTATGATCAATGATGGTTATTATCATTTAGTACAAATTGAATATAATATAACTGGATATTTAAGTTTAAATGTTGATAATAAATTAATTGTTCATCAATTAACATATCAATTATTATTTGATAAACCATTATTATTATTAATTGGACAAAATCCAGCATTTAGATATGGATTTCAGGTATAGGAAAATAAACCTTCATGTCTGTTTTTTTCATAAACTTGAGATTGAGTTAATTTGATAACCATCTGGTAAATATTAATGAATTTCTTGATGCATAAAATCATTAACAGACTGACATATTGCGATAGAAGAATAATATCAGATGGAGATCTTTCATTAAAAAATTATTTTGAAAAACACTGTATTGTTGAAATATGTATACAATTTTGATTAATAAAGGATATACATATATAAATCAATTTTTTTTCTTATTAGGGTCAACTTTATGGTCTTGAATCTGATATCTATTCAGTATTTGATATGATATCTCCAACATTCCAACGTATATCATATTCACCAATTCAAGATAAAGCTTTTTCTTCTATTTCTTCTTCTTCATCTTCATTTTCTTCACCAACAATTATTTATCCATCAATGTTTACACTAAATGATCTAATACCATCATTTTGTTCATCACAATCATATGATGATATTTGTATAGTTACGTCTGATAGAAGTACAAGTCCAATATTATATCCTAATATAACACTTTTAACATCTTTACCAACAAATAGAATCTTTTCATCATCATTATCTTCAGCACGATCTACATCTAAATATACAACATTATATACAACTTCAACTATATTATCTTCACATATCGATCTTTCAACATCCATATCATCAAATTATACATCAAATTCAACACAATATAATGATAACCCACCATTAATTATCTCTATTCGTACACCTATTTCAAGTCGTTTTCGAAGACTTTTTCATTGGCAACATATTTGGGTAATTTTAGTACCTGTTTTATGTGGAAGTATCTTCTGTATTTTAATTGCTATATTTGGTTTTATAAAATATCGTCGAAAAGATGTTGGTGTTTATGAAGTTGAAGAAGCACAACGTTTTCGACCATTAATTGTTGAATTAACTCCATCACCCGGTGAACGTAATCTAGATAATTTTAATTCAACAATACGAACAACTTCACTAGGTACATCATCAGCAACACATCTATCAAAAACAGATATTATTAAATCTCATAAAAAACGTCGACGAAGAAAATCTCCATTAACTTCAAATGATGATCAGCGTGAATTTTATATTTGATTTTTGTTGTCTCTTTCTTTTCTACATAATTATTTCTTACTATTTTTTTTTCTTCGTTTGTTTATTTCGCTTTGAACATAACAGTTACACTAGACTAGACTAAAAGAAAGAAATGTGAATGTTGTGTAAACAATGATATAATTCGATGAATTACGTATCTATTAATGAGTAATAAATTATAACTAACAGATTTTTCTTATCAAGTATATATTAATGAGTGAATAATAATCATTGACAAGAAGAAAAATATGGTAATACTCAAAAATGTTGAACAGAATTCATACAGGCAAACTTGCTTTAAGAAAAAATATCGAAAGAAAAAAATATTTATTTTGTTTTATTGACAAGAAAGGGAAAAATACGTTGATTCATGATGACAAATAACTATAAAAAGAGCACATGATTCGATAAGTCTTGAGAGTATGTGATTAATATAAAGTTTATGTTTTTTCTTCTCACGATGGGCATTGATAAATTATTCAACAATTACTCAACATCGATACCATTTTTGTTGGAATTTGCCACAAGAGTATCGACACGCTTCTGAATCCCATTCGTGGGCGTAGGTAGGCGTAGATTCACCTGTTCTTTATCCGCACGCATCCTCGCGTTTACACAGTAAATCGTTTGTGATTCACCCACGTACTCAAGTACTTTATGTCTAGCTTTTCTTTTAAATAGCATACTTCTAAGATTGGAGTATTCTAATTAAATCGACTATTTTCTTGTGTATTTTTCATATAAAATCGTTCGTATATCAATGACATCTATATCTATTTATTAAAACTATGTGATAAAAAACCGTTCTTTTACTAATATTTTCTAATCAATAAAAACAAGATTTAATCTTATTATATTTCAAGTTGTTGATAATTATCCATACATACCAGTATAGTCATGTGAACTAAACCCCATTTGATACTTGATTGTATACTTTCGTTTTCTTTTCTTACATTGACTGTAACGCTTAGTATTCATTTATCTTAACATCTTACAATAATAAACAGAACATGATTCATATTTCCCGTGTATATATCATGATAATAAACAAGTATTAGAACCAATCGATCGTTGATGAACGAAAAAGTTAATATTTTCTTCTTTTTTAAATTATAAAACAATCATATGTTGAAAATAATTTTTTATTCTATTAAGTTGTAAAAGAAAAATTTTGAGATTACAAAGGTTACATTGTACATCGAAAGATTTTCTTATCGGTTTTTCTTTCGTCTCTCTTTCTTCCATTATATACACCTATTCTTTGTCAACAGGAGATCCTGCTGTTTAGTCACATGTTTTCTTTTAGATTCACCATGTATATAGTTAATCGTTAAATACAGATTTACATCTTTATATATATAGATTATTATTATTACATATAAAACAAATTTAGAATGGGTCAAACACTTTCTGGTAAAAATTTAAATTATTTTCTATCTAATTAAACATATTTTGTTTAGAACCGGTCACTTCAAAAAATTCACAAAAAGTGGAGAATCAGACGTATTCAGTAGGTAGCAGTAGTATGCAAGGATGGCGTATAAGTAAGTTGAATTTTTCTGTTTTTCTTGTTTATTATATAAGATATTAATTTATATAGATATGGAAGATGCACATACACATCTTTTAACACTACCAGAAGATAAAAATTGTGCTTTTTTTGCTGTTTATGATGGACATGGAGGTAAGATTAAATTCAATAATTTCTATTTGATTAATTTTCATTTTTATTTTAGGAGCTAAAGTTGCTCAGTATTCATGTAAATATCTACATACTCGTATTGCTAATCAACCAGATTTTAGTACGTTATCATTTTTATAATTTAATAAAACTAATTTTTTTGTCTAGAACAAGGAAATGTTGAAACAGCTATTCGTAAAGGTTTTCTTGATTTTGACAAAGAAATGTCTTTAGATGACGAAATGCGTGAAGATCTAGCTGGTACCACAGCAATTTGTGTTATTATCAAAGATCAAAAACTTTATTGTGTATGTTTAGACAGAAAAAGTTCGACGAAAAATAATAAAATTTCTATTTAGGGTAACGTTGGAGATAGTCGATCAATAGCATCGGTTAATGGTAATGTAGAAATACTCTCTGTTGATCATAAACCAAATAATGATGAGGAAAGAAAACGTATAACAGCTGCTGGTGGTTGGGTAGAATTTAATCGTGTTAACGGTAAAAGATTTCTTTTAAAGTTAAATGTCAACTAGATAATTTATAATAAAAAATAAATAGGTAATTTGGCATTATCTCGTGCACTTGGTGATTTTATATTTAAACGTAATACAGATAAACGAGCTGAAGAACAAGTTGTTACTGGTAAAAATAAAACTTGCTAGCAAAGTACTATTTCTATTAATTAAAACTAATCGTTTTTCTAGCTGCACCGGATGTAGTTGTTAAAACAATAAATGAAGATTGGGAATTCATATTAATTGCTTGTGATGGTATTTGGGATGTGCTTAGTAACGAAGAAGTATTGAGATTTGTTCGCGCTAGAATTGCTCAACAAATGCCACCCGAAACGGTAGAAATTCGACACTGGTTTTTTCTATTCAATATTTCTTTTCTTTTATTTTAGATTTGTGAAGAATTAATGACACGTTGTTTAGCACCGAATTGTCAAATGGGCGGTCTAGGTTGTGATAATATGACAGTCGTATTAATTCTTTTACTTCATGGACAACCTTATTCTGTATTAGCTACTAAATGTTCAAAGAATTCAGCGAATGATGCTGATAAATCATCATCAGTGACGTCATCATCACCACCTGAAAAATAACATCGAAAATGAAAAAAAATTCCTATTTTTTTTCATCCAATTTAATAATTGAACAATTTTCTCTTTTTCATATTTGATAATATCGCTGTGTTCCATCATTTTTTGAACAGTATTATCCTACTGTTATCGGTGACGAGATCAAAAGAAACAAAATGCGACTCTCTCTTCTTTTCTTTTTTTTTTCTTTATCTATTTTTTTCCTATGAAAATGAAGACTATTGATGTGACTATACATTAATAGTGTAAATTTATTTATATGCAAACAAGCGTGTGTGTGTGTGTTTATTCTGTATGACTACTATATATATATAAATATATATATACATGAACATCGACTTTTGATGTGTATTAAAAAAAAGCTGAAGAAGAAAACGTTGCTTTTTAACCAAGAACTATTTTTATTTTATGATTGATTAACACTAAAGAAAGTCTTCAGATTTCTGTTCTTTTATTTGAGTGCATGCGTGTCTATTTGCCCGCGACTGTGCTTCAAATTTTGGATTGTTTCCTCTTCTGCTAATGCATGGCTGTGTTTCCATTCGAGTTTTTCCTTCTTTTCCTTATTGTATTGTAAATAAGTGAAACAATGTGTGAATCGAATGAAAACAATCTTACTTTAAATTTCATTAGTTCATTACACGAAATAATGTGATTAAATAGATCTCAAGTAAGTTTTTCAACTGATAAACAGAGTCCCAGACTGAAACTATTCAGTTTAGCTATGAAGCATCGTTTAAATTATCAGTCATTCGAATGAAATTATATGAGAGATTCTTATTCTATACAGCTTCTTAATTAATAATTATTATTGATTGAACATTATTTTTCCTAAACTATGAACAATGATGATTATCTATTCATTAAATAGATAATTTTCTTTTATAATACATGTAGTATATAATTATGAGTAAACAAGAATGGTTTTCTCTGTTTCTGACAAACTAATTATTATTCCAATGGGAGAGTCAATGGCTTGTTTTAAATCAAAGACAATTTATATTATACATCGTTCATTTAGTTTGTTTATTAATCCAGTAATCTAATGAAAAGAATTTCGTTGGTATCAAGAATTGAATAGTATACTGATTCTCGTTCGTTTATTGACTTTGTCAATTTCTTTTTATTACTAATGATACAAAACAAAAAACTATAAAAACAACCAACAATTTTTAAAATTAGATAAAATTATCGTTGGTTCTAATCGTCTTTCGTTTGAGCTGTACCGTGTACGCGACCTGTTCGTCGAGCAGCAATAAGAACGACCTGAAAAAAAAAGAATATACATGGAAATAATTAGATTTTAATAAAAAACAAACCTTTCGGTCAGATGGCGCATAGCGACTGATTGTTGATGGTTGCCACCACCGAAAGAATGGTCGACAGGCTATATATATATATGATAAAAATTACAATGCAATTAAATATAAATATCAAACACTTACATTCATAGCAACACCATGAACTCTTGGCCATAATTTTCGTTTCGCCTTAAATTGATGATATGATCAGCCAACTTTCAAGATTGGTTTATCAATACGACCACCGCCAGTAACGATACCTATATTCAAAAAAAAATTATTAACTTTTTAATCTAATGCATGTTTTTATATGCCTTCAGTAAAAGCCTCTAGATATGGTTTCTTGATCATTCATTATGTCAGAAACAAAAGATATATCCTTCATCATTTAGCATATGTATATATATACGTATATTTTTCTAAATATGTTTTCAGTAAAAGCCTCTAGATATAGTTTCGTGATCATACATAATGTCAGAAACAAAAGAAATATCGTTCATCACTTAACATATTTATATATATATACGTATATTTGTGAAATATATATGTTTTCAGTAAAAGCCTCTAGATATAGTTTCGTGATCATTCATCAGGTCAGAAACAAAAGAAATATCGTTCATCATTTAACATATATATTTATATTTATTTATTTTCTAAGATAACACTTACCAATCATAGCACGATTCGTTGATGATAAAGTTTTTTTTGCACCTGATGGTAATTTAATTTTTGTTTTACCACCCTTCGGATTATGTGAAACAATTGTAGCATAATTACCTAAAATAGAACTAAAAATAAGTGTTGAACTCAGGAAGCTTTTTATCATCAAAAAATGATTCAGGAGTCGAAACAACAGCTTTAAAAATTTCATCATAGTCCAAACACTTACCGGATGCTTTAGCTAATCTACCACAATCACCAGTTGCTTGTTCAATTTAACAAACAATAGTACCTTCAGGCATTTGTTCCAATGGTATAACATTGCCAATTGTTAATGCAGCTAGAAGATAACTTTTTCTTTTTTTACCACAATAAATAAATTGTCCGGTATACAACGTAATTTGGCTGGGTCCTTACGATGGAAAGTGCGAGCGCGAGAGATGGCTGAACCACCTTTACACTGAGCGAGAATAACTCGGCCCATTTTATGTAAATGATAAATGAACCGTTTAGTTACTAGAAAACGAATATTTGTTTTTCAAAATGATGAAGAGGGAATATATGGATTGTCTACCATCAGTTGCAGGTTTTATTTTGCCTCCATGACATAGAAAAGATTAAAATCAATTGATCAAATTATTTCATAATACATTAAAAAGGGTTCTCCTAATGAGAAATGCAATTAAAAACGAATAATTTTATTGAGAAAAAAACTTGAACATTAGCGCCGCTATCATAAAACAAAGAAAAACAACCAATCAGAAAATAACGTATATGTGAATGACATTTACATTTGTTTATCTTATTTATCGATGAAAATCATAATTGCTCAATTCTGTTTCTACTGTTTCTTATCTTAATTACTCTAATTTCTATTCCAAATTGACTATAAAATTGATTGTATCATACATATATATTTAAATGTTACGAATCATTTCTTTTCTATTTACCATTGACTTAGTTACTACCTAATTTTGTTATTCATAACCTACGGCTTGCTATTTTTTCTTGAGGATTTTATCTAATACAAAGATTATCAATATATTTAAATGACAAGATATTCTTTATGATTTATTGTTTAGTTCATTCCATATCGATTTAACAAGAGAATAAAATGCTTCAATCTCGTGGTATTTCTGATTTACTTGCAGCTGAAAAAAAAGCTCAAGAACTTATTGAAGAAGCTCGAAAACGTAAGTTTTCTATAATAGATTGATTTTTATTTTTATTAATAAAAAATAGGTAAAAATAAACGTATAAAAGATGCTCAAAATGAAGCAAAAGTTGAAATTGAACAATTTAAAGCAGAACGTGAAAAAAAATATAAAGGCTTGGAACAACAGGTTAGTTATCGTTTTCATAAATGTTTATTTATTTTTTGTTTTGAATAGCAATTGGGTAATCGAACTCAAATGACTGAAGAATCGAATAAAGAAACTCAAATACAAATAGGAGCATTAAAATCTCAATATGAATCTAATAAACAAGAATTACTTCAACGTATTATTACACTCGTATGTGATATTAAACCTGAAGCACATATAAATGCTCGCATCGATTAAGAAAAAAAGTACCCTTCTCATATCTTTTTTTGTCTCATTCATTCCAATATATAAACCCCCGTCGTCTAAGTGTATTTATTATATTCTATTATACATTTTTATTTCTATAGAGCAATCGTATGTGTCTTTCGTATTCTATTAAATATATATATAAATGTCTTTTATTGTAACTAAATATATTGTCAAGTAGATAAATATATAGTAAAATTTTGAAAAACAATACTATCTTAAGAAAGTCAAGAGAACCGTTCACATCAGACTTTTAAAGATTAAATCAAATCAGATAGAAAATGGAGGGTTTCATACTTTTTTATTATTTACGTTCTGTTTTTCTAGGTGAAGAAAATAAGAAAAACGTATGTGAATAGTTTAACGATTATTCATCTAAGTTGTTTTACTCTAATTGAGGATCGAATTCAATTATATTCATCTTCTCAGCGCTGTCATCATCAATTATACTCAAAATTCACATTATTCATGAGAATTTGGTATTTATATTTGCTTGCTTTTCCAGCTATTTCTAGTCATAATGTTTTTGATAACTTTTTCAAGTAATTATCCACTAGTTGTATATACTATAAAACATTTGTCTGTGTATAAGTTTAACCAGCTATATTAATATTCAGTTTTAATCGTCTAATAACTGATATTTATATTGCCATTGACGGCATTCTAAACAATTATTAATCTACGGGATTCCAAATATAATAGGTTATTATAAATAATATATCATTCAACTCGCTATGTACTAATGATATTCAAATATGCGCAATTTGTCGACAAATGACTTGTTATGTCAAGAAAGGCATCAATTCCGTGATTGTCAATACAAATTATAATCGCAAAACTAATCAAAACACATATCAATACTATCTATATATCAATTCATGTTGTTATTCTTGTCAAATAAAAATGTTTTCTCATTATAATTCAACAACAACCATGATGTTTGTAAAGATCATTCATAGTCTATTCAAGATATATTTGATTTTAAAGATAAGTTATTATTAGAGATGTGCAGTGTCGGTTTACTGAGCACCGATTTCCAATGACAACGATGTTCACTGACACTGAAAACGTCAGTTCGGTGCTCACCGTGCCACTGAAAATGACGGTGTTAGTGTTCATCGAACACAGAATATAAGTGTCAGTGATCACTGTGCCACTGAAAATATCGGTGTTAGTGCTCACGGATCACTAAAGGTATCAGTTTCAGTGATCATCGTGCTAGTTTTTCGGTGAATACGAAGATATTGTTGTAAATACTAAGGTTTAGCACAAACATATTTTAGCTAACAGTTATCACTAACACTTATATTCGGTGTTCGGTGAACGCTGACAACCACATTTTCAGTGGCACGATGAGCACCGAACTGATGTTTTCAGTGTCCGTTTTTCAGTATTTTCACTGACACTGTACATCTCTAGTTATTATATCAATGATTAACATGAGAATAATAAATAGAAATGAACTAAAAAATTGAATGCAGACCTTTTTTCAAAATATTGTATTCTACGAAAATATTTTACTAGTAGAAGTTTTCGTTTTCTTTATGCAAAAATATCGATAGAGACTTCTCAGTAATTATTTTTTCATATACATCTATATGGGCAAAGCGAAAATTTTATTAGTAACAATAGCTTGAAAACTGTACACAAATTCTTCAATTTTGCGTTGACTTTATTTATTGTAAGTGTCTAATTTAGTTATCTGAATCATCAGATCCGTTCAATATTGATTTAGTTAATGCTTCAGCATTATGATCTAAATACATTTCATTGATAAAAAGCTTTGTATGTTAGATATTGATTATTACGTTCGTTCAATAAGATCAATGCCCTTCATTCGAGCTTCGGTAATCCATTGAAAAAGACTTTAAATTATAAGAATGATTATCGGAACAATTTCAAAAATCAATGTTTTATGTTTATTTTCCATTAAAAGAAAATGTTTATCTTTTCATTCAACTAATGAAAAAATATAATGAATTAAATTGTAAATTTTAATATATATATATATATAACTGGCTTATAGGTATATGTCTTTCTTTGAACGAAAGCACGATTATAGAGAATAAAATACAAACAAATAGACAAAACATGAGCACACATACAAATGACAACAACAAACAACATTGACTAAAAATACTTTAGATGCTGAAGTTAGAAAGCAGTAGCTCCATTCCATCCATTCAAAAAATACTGTTGACTGTCGACAATCACCGACGTATGATGATAAGGATGTTCTGTTGGATAATTTGTTGATACATAACAATTATTTGTTGGTGGATAGAAATCTATTTTATCGGACGGTAAATTTGTTTCATAATCAATATTAGATAAATGATGATGATGATGATGAGGAATAGATTCATTATCAAGACGTATTCGTTTATTATTTACACTACACAATGATAATGTTTCACCTGATGAATCTTGTTTAATATGTTGTTGTATTAATGGAGTTTGTGCAATTTGTTTCTTTTTATCTAAAATTATTTGATGTGATGGTTGTTGTTGTTGTTGTTGTTTCGAAGGAATCATTTTCGTTGATGCATGATAATCATTTGATTGTTGATCATAGTACATTGAATTATAGATGGGTAATGAAGAGGATTTATTATTATCATCATCGGGATTTGAATATGTTGAAAAACAAGTTGGATTTGTATATGTAGTTGAAGATGGATAAGGAGGAAAATTTGAATAATTTGTTTGAGGAGGAGGATGATGAGAATTATAATAAATATCATCATGTGGATAACATGTATTTGCTGGTATTGATGAATAACCATCAGTTAATATTGTTGGTGATGGTAGAATTTCATTTTTAGTTAATAATTTTGGTGATGATTTACGTTGTTTTATTGAACATTTTGTTTTAAGAATTTTATTTGTACAATTTCGATGTGATATTGATGATGCTGAAGAATTTAAACTTGTATTTGCTGTTGGACATTTATCGTTTTCAACTGAATTAGCTGTTAATGTTGCTAATGCTTGAGCTGAACGTATATAATCTGATGGAGTTTTTTCAACTTGATCAATCGATAAATTTAAATGTTTAGCTTCGACATCACTATAATATTGAATTTATTTGAAAATAAAACAAAAAAGACATTTTACCTTAATGCATGATTAACACTAACAATGACTTCTGGACGTGATGATCGACTATTATGAACAAGAGTTGCATAACTTTGCACTAAAATCAATATGAATTAAATCTAATAAAAAATTAAATAAATACTTACTCCATATCCAACCACCATTTCTTGTTAAAAAACGATAATATCGAGTGGTTACTTGTCCTTTAGTTAGCACTAAAAAATAATATAGTAATTATTATCTTGTCTCAATTTATTCTAATAGATATAGTTTTCATACTGAAATAGTTGTTCGGTTACAAAAAGATTTCTAGACAAGAACTTATAATTTTTTATAAGTGTCATTTGTAATCGTAAAAACTTTCATTTCAACAGGTATACTATTTATTAATCTGCACACCTTACACATATTTCTATTCTTAATTTAACGCTTTTATTGATGTAATACTTTATCCCTTCGTTGCTGTCGTGGGGTCCAAGCGGACCCACCACTTATCTATATCTTCTAAGAAGACTGCAGCTGATATTTCGGTTTCCTGTTTTTGACTAGTGCACATTAAGACCAACCCATAGAGAAAGATTGGATTTCCTTTCTCTTGTGTTTAAGTAATTATAAGACTACAACTGAAGGCTCAAAATGGGGACAGCTACGAAGGATTAATACAACGACAAATGTTTATTTTTATAATAAATATAAAGCCAATACTTACAAACTTGATGTGCCCATCTTAATGCCATTAAATCTTGTGTGTGTACATAATGATACAAAGTTCTATCAACAAGATCTTGTGGTTCATATCCAGTTATTTGTGATACTCTAATATAAAACTTTATTCATCTTACAATAACGACAACAAAGTAATACACATACCTTGAATCAAGAAATAATAATTTAAAATCTTGACCAGCACGAAACATAAACATATTCGAAAAAAGACGTATTTCAGTTATTGAACAACTTGGTAATGAATAACCATATGCAATAAGACCAACATTTTGATAACAATTTTCTGTATTATTCATATTATTTGTTGAACCATAACATGATATTGTATCAAAATTAAATTGTTTAATTTTTAAATAACCCGAACAATGTATAACTTTAAATCCATTTGTAGTTAAACCAGCATTACGTTTAGCCAAAACACATTTCATACGTATAAAAAATGAACGTTCTATTTCATATTCACCATTTGCACATAATGTTTGACTGTAAGTTGGTAATGGTGCTGTTAATACATTCGCCATTTCTTCATGATCAATTGGATGAATATATTCATAAATAGAATTTCCAGTTAATTCAACTTGTGATAAACCTAAATGTGTTGAAGCTGTTTCAGATATATACATGATTTTACCATCAGGACTAACAACAAATAAAAATCCATCAAGGATCTAATAGAGAAAAATATAGGATAGAATTAATAAAGAAATATTTTGAATAGACAAACTTGTGTTAATTGAGAATTAACTTCACGCTCAATTGCTGTTTGAGTTAGTGAACGTGAACCCCATGCATTGCCGAGTCCTAAGAATACATATAAATATAGACGAGAAATTATATCAACACTACGAGATTTAGATTATCTTCTGATCAAAATGCATCAATAGAAAATTCTCTTTTTCTCTCAACGAGAATAATGACTAATAGAAATTGTCATACGATATTGAAAAGCAAATAAACTACTATTTACATTTTTATCTGAACGCAAAAAAAAACTAATCACTTTACATTATTATCCTTAATAGATATTAAATATAAATCTTTTATTTGTCAGACAGAGACACAGAGAGTTCAAAAAAACGTTTTTTATTTTCATATGTTACATATAAATGTAATCCAATAGAAATCAAGAAAAATATAGATATGAAAATCAGATCGAATTCTTATCAATGACGATTACAGAAATAAAAAGTTCATCATTTATATGTGAAATTTCTCTTTTTGTTTTAAATATAAAAAATAAATGATGAGATTGTTACGGAGTAAAAACATCCGGATAAAATAAAAGATTTATTTCAAACTAAGCTGATCAAAGTTAGTGTAAAGAATAATTCTTTGAATCAATGTAATTTCTTCTTCATCTATTTTTTAATATAAAACAACTCAGATAAAATTGTCATGCACAGCAAATAAACTCTTGCCATTCTAATTGTTCCTTTTTCTTTCAGCTCATATATATATATATATGAAAGAATAAACTGTAAAAAAAAAGCTCTATACTCATATCAATTTTCAAATGAACTATAAAATTATTTGATAAATGAACATGTTAAAATTGTCGATATTGTGTTAATGACGTCATCTTAGTTAATCGTTACAGATCATTAGATTACCTTCGGGTACAATAGCACGCATTTTAAGATAACTTGTTGTAAGACGTATAACAGATGCTTTATCCAATTGATCAGTAATTGCATGTGGTAATGGTAAAAGTTTGGCCAATTCAAAAAATTCCGCATTTTCTTTTTCACGTCGACTTCGAGCTGCATTCTTGGATTTTTCTTTCATTGCTTCAATTCTTAAAGAATAAAAACAAAATAAGAAAAAAATATGTATAAACAAAAATAAGAAAAGATCATTTCAAATTTATGACTTTCTCATTATTTTCACTTGTCTATAAGCACACGTTTTTATTCTTCTTCTCTTCTACTATCTATTAAATCGTGCCGATTTTCATCATTGTCATCTGAGAAATGAATTTCTCTATTAACGAGTATTTCGTCAAATGAGAGAGAGACATCAGGAAACAGATTAGCATTGTTAACTAAAAAAAAATCTGAGATCCTACTTAACGCATCCATCTCATTTGGCACGCGCATATATGCACATCATTTTTCTATTTTTATTTCAAAGCGACAATCAACCCATCAGCATTGTGTATTAATTAGTTCAATTTAAAAGAAAAAAAATTTTGCTTGTTAATTTAGAAGAGAAAAAAAACGACTTACTTATGTTAAAGTAGTAAATAATCAATAGGAATAACAACAACAACAACGGTTTATTAATCCGCTGATGTTGCTGCTATGCTTATAACACATATGAAACGTCTCTCTCCTTTTTTTCTTCTTCTTCTTCTTTCTTCACTCATCAATAAGAAGATGTCCGTTGTGCATTTTATACTCATATTCCTATTCGCTGACTTGATTCTTCTCATTTTTCTTTTCTCTTTTCTTCTATAATTCTTATTCGTATTATATACCAACAAACAAAATCATATTAGATTGTGAACAAAGAATCTTCATAGTTCTTCTAATCAATTGGTAACAAAAAAAAAACGAAGAAGAAGAAGAAAGGACACACAACAATAAATTTGTTTTATTCTATTTAGAATCTAATAGGCCGAAGCAATACTTTAACTATTGATTGACCTTAGAAATTGAATATTGTTATCATTTGAGCGTGACAAAATCTCGACATTTTCTTTTTTTCTGATAAGTTATATATATATATGAAGATGAATAGCTTGTTTGCCTGCTCTATCTCTTTACTGCTCTTGATTGATTTGTCTAATATAAAAACACAAAATTCTATGTTATATGTTAACTTTTCTTACTTCAATCGAATGTATACTATATCGGACATGAAGAAGAAGAAGAAGAAGAAAAAAAACGAAGGAATTAGGATGAGATTAACACAATATATAACTAACAGGTTCATATACACAAAAGAAAGCGGTAGTTGAATCTCTTAACAAACTTCTTCAATTGAATTTCTTCTAACAAATTTTACTATTGAAAACGAATATATATACATTTCACTAAGATTTTTTTCCTCATCTATATTTTTGTATAAAGACATCATGTATATCGAATAGAAAAGGTATTTTGCATATATTGTTAATTCTTGTTTTTTTGACATTAACACATCAGAGAATGTTTGTCAATTGAAAGAGAGAGAGCTACCTGTATAGAGAGAGAAACGATGAAAAGCAAATATAAGCTTTCTGTGAAAAGAGACATTGATCAATCGAGCTAGTCTCATAGACAAAGAAAAAAGTCAACATTATTATTAAATTTATAAGCAAGCAATATATATATTGAAGAAACGCGTGTCGAACAAAATACTCAATCTTTTTGTTAGACGGATGATTCTAAGGTTTGAAATTTGCATGTGAATCATTTGTATGATAGAAAAGATGCTTTAAAAGTGCACATATAACAGATGATATATGTTTGAAAATTTTGTTGTTTTGATTTGTAAATAATAGTAAATTTCTATGATTAGATTTTATGTAAAAGAGAAGTTTAATTTTGTAAATAGAACGAAAATTATCTTTGAATTTTGAGAAGCCATTGATTTCAATGTCACATCAAAGAGAAAAAAATGAAATTAATTCTTTCAGAATTCGAACTATAATATATTTACTTATCATTTCGCATAAATTGATTTATTAAAAAATAAAATAAAAAATGATGTAGTATTACTTTACAGTATGATATAAATTAATAATTTCAACGTTGTTTCGATATGATCTGATATTTTATGAATTCGGAAGATGATTATGAAATCTTGCTATTTTTTTTTGTTTCTAGCAGGCGTGATTATACAATTAGAATTATTTCCTTTAGTAAAACTATGCAGTATGAGATTGGAAATTGCATAGTGATATAATACTTTTCCTCAATTAATTCATCGTGATCAATTTTGATCAGATGTCGCCTGTTGTATGGATATATGTATTGATAAATCCTGAAGAGGGACCTACCTATCGAGAATAAGATTAGTAAAAAACGCTTCTTCATAATCGTTAAATACAATTGATCTTAACTGTCGTTTCTATTTATCAATGAATTCAGGGGCACACTGACTAGGGGGCGCGTGGGGCATTATTCCCCCTGCTTTGAAAAATTTTAGTTTTCTTTTGGTCAATGAAATCAAAAGCAGGGGTTTTTACATGTTTTCTGGTTTTAGAATTAAGCAAAAATGGGTGTTGCGCCATCCCTGCTTTTAGAACTTGAAGTACTGAGGTTTTACGCCCCTGCCTTGTAACCCTCGGTACGCCCCTGAATGGATTAAAGCCTTTGCCTTGTAAGAAACCATATTGTTTCTAGCAGAGGCGTAAGTCAGGTGTCAGAGCAGGGGAACGGGGGGTGCAACCTTTTTTTTTCTATTTTGGCGACCAAAAAAACGAAATTTTCAAAAGTAGGGGAGGCGTAAACCCCTTTTCTTCTATTAGTTTTCGAAAGCAGGAGAGGTATTGCGCCCCACGCGCCCCCCTATTTACGCCACTGGTTTCTATTCTCTTACGATATATCTATTTTAATAGATATCAAATGTAAATTTACTCTATCAAAACCAGTGTTAGAGTATTGTAAAAAAATAGTTTCTTTTTTTTTAATAAGCGGACAATTCCATTCAATAATCATTTATATTAGTGGTGACTAATATAAATGATTGATTTTCTTATTATAACTTTGAATAAGATTTTAATTATCATTCAGTAACTATTTTAAAAATGAAGGTCGCAAAACTAAAAACATATTATATTTCACTTGTTCTATAATGCAACATAACTCTTCCAGAATTTCAAAAGAGAAAGATATTATAACATCTCAAAGTCACGTTCTGTTTATTCACACAAGAAGATAAAATAATAATCCACATCTTGAACAATCTGATTATTGTGAAAATGAGACTCAATCTAATAGTGTTTATTCAATATTTTAAAAACTAATAGATTACTAAATACTTTTACTACACTAGATAATTTAAAAAATGAATGATCTATCCATTCATATTCGATATCTTGTCAGCGGTGGTTGGCGATTCTTTTGTCTCTGCAAAAAATACTTGGAATATACCTCAAAAATCGATTTTTCACCATGCCTCCGCCACTGTATCTCGTATAAGAACAAGATATTTAACAATCATTTTCGATAGTTTTATTGGAAGCATAATATCAGAGAAAAAAACCATGTCAGTATCATAACAAACGTGTCTATTCGAATTTTGAACTATTTAATTTTAATTCTTAAAAATAAAAATAATCATTTAACTTTTCTAATATTATCACAACTATTTTTCAAAAAGTATTTATCCTTCTATCCTCATCTAATATATCATTATCACGTAGAGCATACCTGTCGAAATCATTTGTAGTTATGTTTGTATCGTCGTTAATATGCATTTCTTGAATAAATGTATGATTTTGTGTTATATCTCCATTATTTATATCGATCATTGCTTATTCGTGCTTGTCAAATGAGAAAAAAAAGAAAAAATATATATAAATTGAAAGAGGTTGGACAACAGGTTTTTTTCTGTCTATGTATTTGTGTATACCACACGGTCACATCATCATGATGTTCAAGTAAACAATCGGTTGTCGTTGCCTTTTGTCTGTCTTGTCGTTTCGTTCGCTGATTGCTCGTTTTACTTGTACGACAAATATTCTTCTCAACGAATCACGTTCGACAAAGTTCAACGTCTCGTTTCTTTTTGCTACCGTTTGGCTTTTGTTTTACCGACAAGAAAAGAAAAAAAAGAGACAATTGATCCACTCTTTTGTCCTCTTTTTTCTCTTCTCTTCTTTTCTCTCTCTCTCACTTTCTCTTTACTCTTAGTTAATAGTAATGGATAATAGAGAGAAAACAAAGAGAGTGAAAGCTCGCATTAGCTGTCGACATTACTAATGACAATATTTAATCTCTTGTGCGAAGGAGGGACACACATAAAACGATGAACATAAGAGAACGAAGAAAAAACAACACTGAATAAATTGATTTTCTACCAATCATATCGAAGAAAAAAAGCCAATCATTTTAATAATAAAAATATTTCGATATTTGTTTAATTTAATAAAATATATGTCGATTTTATTGATGATTAGAGCATAAAAGACATCAATTTATCTTTAATAATATCGTTTTTTCACAATATAGTGAGAGAAAATATCAAGCAAATATGACACCACTAGTCAATGATAGTACCTCATTTTTTTCTGCTTGTTCCCATTTATTCTTTTGTTGATTGAACATGACAAATGCTCAATACATTTTTCTTACCTATTTGAAAAAAAAAGACTCCAAGATAGATAGACAATTTTTTTTCTCTCTCTCTCCCTCTCTCCGTTACTCGGTTCTTTCGATGTTGAATGTGAAATAAGAAACTGTTTGTTAATCATTTATGAATGCCATCAACTATGTCAATGCTGATATACTATTCTACAGAAGACAAGGATATGTTACACAAGCCGGAAGAAGTTTAAACATCCGTTTTGTTTTCTGAAACAACATATCCTGTGAAAGCTAATATGAATAACACTTCTTCGCACCTTTTTTTTGGATATTTATCAACAATTAATGTATACATATATATATATACAGAAAAACATAAACATGATAAAATATATAAATCAGTTGTAATTATCAAGTATACGATAAGGAATTAAGAGTGATTGCTTTTTTTTCTTCAATCTAAGTCAAAAATAAGATCAGTGATAAGTCAAATGATATTTAAAAATAAAAGAATCAATCAGTTATGTATTGTCTATTGATAATTGAATAATAACAAATGATAAAATATAGAAATAAATACTATGTTATTTTCTTCGATCTATTTAATGATATAAAAACAAAACATTCATTTATATATGTAAGAGTTTTATGTAGAGAAATTCATTTATTTCATTATTTACACGATAATGATTGGTTGTTTCAGTAAATGATACTCAATATTATGCATTAATTGTCAAGATGAACAGTCTTGATAATACTGAATCTAATTGACGGGTAAATTTATTTTCGTATTTGTAATATTATTGTTTATCGGGATTCTCCTGATTCGTCCCAAATTCATCTATTAAGAAATTTTTCTTTTTTAATTGATTGCCAATTCGTTCTTTCCCGAATGAAAGCAGAGTTTCCTACACATCCGCATATCTATCAGTTTATAGATATATTATGTATGGTATATGAACACCAGCATCATGTTGCTGAGGAAAGTCAAGTTGAGCTACGAAAACGTTAGAAGATTCATAATCAAACTGTAATAATATGTCTATAAACTGATAGATATATGAATGTGTAAGAAACTCTACTTTCATCGAGAAGGGACGAGTTGGGAATAAATTAAAAATGACAAATTTCTTAATAAATCAATTTCGGACGAATCATAAGTAAACCTTATTTATATGATGATAGGACGAGTGTTTAATCTCACATATATAGTTGCTAATATTCAATTGAGTTGTATAGAGTTCATCGATTATAATTCTACCATCAATACATTGTCTGACTATGATAACTATTCTAACAATAGAATAACCAATCTCTCCATATATTTCTCTTCATGTGTATTGAAAAGAGTTTGACAAATATTTTGTTATATATTAGCGAATTACTAATTGTAAATGATTTCTTCTCAACAATACCAATATATTGACATATTTTATTTAGGGATCGAGCTCAAGAATAGATTCAGTAAACTTAATCGCTTTGGATTCCAATACATAGTAGCATTAATAATCATCATACTTTATTTAGCAATGTTAATCTTAAGACTTTTAAACATATATAGAAAAAAATGTAAACTATATCAGACAGAGAACTCTAACCGATCTATGTAATTCTTTAAAATGTATCGAAAACACAATGTTTCTTCAATAAAAATGACGAGAAAATCTCTTTCTACTATAGATAGATAAATATATCGTTCTTGAATCTATCATAGCAATTCTATTAAGAAATCTTTTTTAAATAACTTTCTATTCAACAAGACAAATCAGTTTATTCGTTTGAACCTGTTCAAAAAACCCAACGTATATCAATAGTATTCCATAGACATTCTTAAAAAAGTGATGGTTATCACATTGTATTATTTAATCCTAGTAACAGAGAGAATCTGGTTATGGTTAGGTAATTCTTCTAATACTAGTTAATACTTTACGTGATAGGAAAATCAATTCCATTGTTCATTTTATTAAAAATTCAAACGACATGTTCTAATTTTAGACAAAACAATATATTATTGAAAAGATAAAATTCTGATTGAGTCTCCAGATATTTTCAATATCATGCTATGCTAATCCGCGATAATTTAAATTTCAAAAAATCTCATTCAACGTCAATAATATATATATAGAAATCGATTTTATTAGTGCACTCTAGCGACATTTGTTTCAAGAAATATAACTGGTCGATATTCTTTCCAATCATATTACAAAACAAATATGTTATGTTGTAGTAAACATTTGTTTTGTTGTTAAAAATCATTTTTTCTTCTTGCTTTTTTTTAAAATCCAAAACTATCAAACATGCAGTATTGGCGTATCGCTGGTTTAAAGTTAGTTCTTTTTTTGAAAGTAAACATTTAACCTTCATATTAATTTAGTTATATTCAATATTCGGCTGTATGTGCTCGCACATTACGACGATGTTTAAAAACATCTGCAAATAAAGAAGCCATGAAACGTGAAGAATCCTATATACGTGTTAACAAATGGCAGGGTGGAAAAGTTTCCGAACAAGTCTATCCAGCTAGTTAGTTAATTTTATTCATTAGATATTGCTATATTTATTTTCCTTTTCTTACAGAAACGGAACAAACCTCATAAAATTATCATCCAACATAGTCACTATTAGTCTATAGATAAAACATTCTGTTCTCCTGGTGGTTCAGTGCTATGTTTTCTTTTTTTACGTTCATTTTTTCTTTCTGTTTTCTATAATAGAAAAATAAAATACGATCATCCTTAAACATTTTAAACTTATAGGACATTGTCAATGCAATGGCTGTTTTCTATAAAATATTGATCACGAGGTTCTAGCTTTGGGCAATAAAAACAGAAGTGATCGCAATGTAAAAATAATGATATATTTGATAGACAGAGTGAACGGCAATAATGTACTTAGCATTCAAATGAGAGAAAAACAATATCAGAGTTCACAGAGAATAAACAAAGTACTATTGGTATATGTCGTTTTTGAAAAGATAAAATAAAAAACATTTATATAATACAAAATTGCATACTAGTAGGAGTAGATCAGATTAAAAATGATTACGCGTAAATGTCACATAAGTCAAAACTCATGATATTAATGAGAAAAACGCCTTTTTATCGTAATTACAAATATTCACCGTAGGATATATTATCTGGTCTAACTAGATAAATATTATCAGACATTTTGCTAATTTTGATTTTTGTCTGTAAGTATAGATTCATATTCCAAGGAGTTTTTTTTATCACGTGTCCAAAAACACGATCATGTTTTTATTCATAAAATTGATCGCGAACGATTAGCAATATGATATATCAGCGTTTTATAATTTATAACAATATTTCTCTGTTAAATGAATACTTTATTCATATATTGAACATCATTTTTGCAAAAATTATAATCGATTTTTAACATATTTCTTTTGTTATATTGATATTGATAAAAATGAAGTTATGCACAAGCGTCAATAGTTTATATAGCATCAAACACAGATGCAGGCATTTAAATAAATAGACTTTCAAATTAGATTATTCATGCAAGTCCATAAAACATAACTGGTTAACAGCACTCTATTTTGATATTTTGTTTCTTTGTTTGTATCAGCATTCTTGTTATTTTTTATTTTTAGAATTATACACTTAAACATTATCTATATAATTTAAAGAGCGAGAGTTGACATAGGATTGTAAGTCTAACTCTGATCAGTTTTGGGTCAATGAACTAAATAAAATGGTTAATAAGAAATATTTGGTTATGTGTTTTAATCAGCATCTGAATGTGGTTATTTTTTGACATGAATCTAAACGAGAGCATTGACATGTAGTAGAAGTTTGACCTAAGAAAGGAAATTGATGGATATAATTTTCTTTCTAATTGCAATATAATTTAACATTAGCAAAGATCATATATAATTATTGTTTTTGATATTAAACTAGATACAGGATTTTTTGAGTCTAATGAGGAAGGTCATAAGGAATGATTTAGTCAGTATTTTGTATATAGGTCGTTTATAATTCGGTGAAGTAAAAAGCTATTTTTCGCAACAGATTCCTCATGAGATTTTCTACAAATATAAATATCTTTATCATTTTGTTCAAGAAGCACAACATTTTATCGAATTTGTTTTTATTGCATGTTTTAATTCTTGAGTCCATTCTACTTTCCATGTCACTTAACATTCCTAATCTCAATATATTTTAGTTAATCATAAAACTGAGCAAATGGATTATGTTCCTAAGACTTTAATCGAATACTTGTCTGCCTAAGATGCAATTAACTTCTTTTGCAGTGATTAACCCTGTTTGTTTTTATTCAAAGCATCAAAAAGAAAAAGAAATTAAAGAGAATAACAAAATTTATCTATTAATAGAAGTCTAATATTTTTAATTAATAGAACGGACTTATATATAGACATTCAGATCAGTGTAATTGAGCTTCCACTTCTCAAACATTCACAAAATTATTTAAACCCTAAGTCATCGTTAGAATGTTTTACTTATTTTTAATTATCAAAACCCTCTTATATATAAATAGATCAATTACAAAAGCTATGCAAAAACACGTGATGTTCAAAAAAAAGTAATTGAAATAAAAGTCATATGTGCCTATATAGTTGAATTCTATAATCACATATGTATTTATTCGTTGATAAATAAAATATAAGTTTTTAAAATACAACAATTCACATAAAGAAAATACATACATTATTTTTTTTTAATTCTAAAATGTTACTGTTCTACTTTGTCTTGTCGTACAATTTCGACTCGAATTTTTATTCATTATACGTGGAAATAATAAACGTTTAAATGCCGTACGAAATTCAACATTAAATACTGTATAAATTAACGGATTAACAGCACTATTAATATAACCAAGCCAAAGTATTAATGTTGGTATTGGTTCTGCAATATATTGTGATACTTTAATAAAAGCTGATAGAATATAAACAAGAAAAAATGGTAACCAACATAATAGAAATACACTTATAATTATTCCAAGTGTACGTGATAAACGACGTTCACGTGTTAAAGATATTTTTTGTCTTTCATGCATTAATGATGCTAAACTTTTTCCTTTAAATAACATTTTACGATTATGTTCTTTTTCTTTCGATGAACGTTTTATAGGAAAACATTTTGTTTTAGGTACTAATTCTGTTGTTTGAACAGATACATTTTGTTGTTGATTAAAAGATCCATTTTCAGTTTTACATTCACGAACAGTACATGAATTAGGTACTGGAATAGATATATCAGCACTTGTTGGTGATCCATCACAAGCTAAAGAAAGAAATAGAAAAACAATTGAAATTGTGTTTTTTTCCTATGAAAAAAATAATAAGTGTAGAGTTAACCCGAACATATTGTGACAGTTACAATAAAAAGCTCAATCTCCCGTTATTAAATGAAATTAGTATAATTTTGAAGCGTTTCTTTTTTTTACTTATAAAAATGTTACCATTACCCTGGATATTATTTTATTGATTATTAAAAGGTTTTTTGAGTTTTTCTATAGTTTATTTATGGTAAGTCAATGTTTACGAAGTATTTTTATTATTGTTAAGTTTATAAAGTATATAATACGGGTCGGAATAAAATAATAGAACAGGATGTACTTATAAACTTTGCTATTCTCATCGAACTAAAATATTTGTATATGATAATATTTATATGAAAATTCTGTTGAAAAAAAAACATTTGGTCCAAATAAATCAAAACATAATATATATTCTACTCACATATTGAGAACTTTTTATTGTCATCACTATTTAATATAAGTGAATTCTGTGAATTATCTACGTCCGATCTTTGACAGTGAATATAATTATTATTATTAGCTGTGTTATTATGACTAGTACTTGAAGATGAACCTGTTTTTGTGTATTCTTGTTTTAAACATGTCACTTCGTCACCACCATCACTACTGAAATTGTCGACACCACTTCCATTTGATGCTGAAGTTTTTAATGATGAATTTCGATGTGTATTTGATGATGATGTTAAACTTTTCTGTAAATTACGTTGAAATTGATCCATAATACAACTATTCATTGGAAGACTTTTATGTACACGAGTTGCATTTGCTAATTTTTGTGCAGCTGTTTAAAAAAAATTATCAGGAAATTTTGTTGTTGAAAAAGTTTCAAATAATAAAAAAACAAACCTTTCGCTCGTTCCCGGAAACGTTTTCTTGTTTCAATAAAAACATGTGCATAAACAACAGTCATAATTATTGCTGGAATATAGAATGACCCACATGCTGAATAAATAACATAAACTTTATTGTTTGATAATTCACATTGTAATTCATTAAAATTGCTTAAGTCATCAGAACCAAAAATAGTTGCAATTATTGGCGGAATTGATATCGTTGCAGATAATATCCAAACAAGAGCAATCATAAAAAGAACACGTCGTACTGTACGTTGACGTGCATATTGTATAGGATCACTTATTGCCCAATAACGATCAAGCTAAAAAAATTTAATAATATACTAATTTTCTATAATTTATAGATAACTTACTGCTATAGCACAAAGATTTAATATTGATGAAGTACATAACAGAACATCGCAAGTGACAAAAATTTGACAAAATATTCGTCCTAAAATAAAAAAAAAATTTTCTTAAAATTTAAAAAAAAATTAAATTTCTTTTTTTTTTCTTACCAAATATCCATCGATCAAGTATATGTGTAACAATATGAAATGGCATAACGGTAATAGCAACCAGCATATCCGAAAAAGCAAGTGAAACAATAAAAAAATTTTGTACAGTACGTAATGGTCGAAATGTAAATACAGATAATATAACAAGAATATTACCACAAATACATAAAATAACAATAGTTGAAAGAACAAGTGCAACTGGTAAGAGTTTAATCATTGGCATTGGAGCAATAGATGTTGATGTTGCTATTGTTGTTCCATTAAGTATAGTGATAAGATCCAATGATGATGATGATGATAAAGGAGTTGGATTCGACATATCAGAATTAATCGATGATATTAAATACCAATCAATACTATTATTCGGTAAAGATGGCAAAAACTTATTATCAATGTCACTATAAAAGTTTGATAATGATAAATCATGGTGGGGTATTGCAAATGTCAACGGCACTGAAACAGAAAGATAAAGTTGATAAATGAATTATATAGGATTGCTTTAACTATTATGTTAAATGCATTTCCAGTTAGTCTTTTTTTTTAGTATATAAAAGAATGTATTTTACTCTGCTATCAGAATTTCTAACAGAGAAAAACTTCCGAAGATAGCTCCCACTCATTTTCCGTTCGCGGCTCGTCGTGCACATTCATATCCGGCCACTCTCGCACCTATCGTCAACAACCGCGATTTCATCTTCTATGTTCTTTTTACATTCAACAACAACACTATCTACTGATACACCTCTCTCTCTTTTTTTTCTTTAGATTAATATCATAATCAACATTTTCTTACAAGAAAATCTTTAATGAATACTTCTAATCACAATTAATCGACTATATAATATATTTTTTCATTATTTATAAGAAGATTACAATTATTCTGCTTATGTAGTTTGAGAAAAATCTAATACGCATATTTCGGACATATTTTTTTTAATTTTCTACTTACAATTCTATAGAAAAACACACGCATCTGAAGGACAAAAACAATGATGTCAATTAATAAATTAGAAAAAGAAAAAAATCTAACAAGAAAATATTTTCTTATGAAAATTATTAAATTCTTGACACTCAATGAAAAGACATTTCTCTTCTTTTGTATGATCTATTCTGTCATTATACTGTCTCTATGTCTGTTTTTATTCAATAATAATAATATTCTTTTCTATTCATATTCATCACTATATTTTTCTGTCACAATCAATCTTTTTGTTTAGTCTATTTTTAACAATTTCTCGTCATTGACTTTTTCACATGAGCAATACATAGAAAAGGGCTTAAAGCAAAAGACGATACTCGATATTGATAAGCATCATTTAAACAGATAATAACCTCTCATCATGATAGATACTTATTTTTCTCTTCATCTTTATTTCTTATTTATAAGGGGAACATTTCTCAGAAAGAAAAAAAATCATTTTTTATTTTTCTATTTGATTAAATTCTATAAAATATTCAGCAATCTTTTTGATTAAACAATCGCGTCTAGTTTTTAAGTGGGTGGTGTGTTTTATCCTTGAAATTAATTATCAAATAAAGTTTGTTCAATCAAAATGTGTATTTTTGTCGGCAAAAATGAAATAGGAAAATATTAGCTCACATATATAATCGATTTACTATTTTTTCTAAAAGAATAAAAAAAGAAAGGAAAATTGTATGATTAATTTATAGGTCAAAAAAGAAATCTAGTTACTGAATTGAAGGTCTAATAACGGATGTTCTTTGTATTCCTTTCAAAAAATAGAAATTTATTGTCAAACAGGAAATGTTATCGTTGAGTATATTTCTATAAAAATCAGCTCATATTTATATGTATATTAATAACACTCCTGATTTCTATTTTTTTAATTCTATAATCATTAAATTACTCATATAAACAACTATAAAGTTTTCTTATCAGAACAAACAATTGTAAATTCATTAAAAAATCATTAGGTAAAGCGAAATGATCAAGAAAAACACGTCGACAGATGATGATAAAGAAGTAGGAGAAAACAAAAAATATAGGAAATCACTCAAATAAGATCAATGTTTATGAGAAAAACATTCAGTAGGTTCTATGAGTTCACATATCTCTTTTTTTTTCCTGTCTGACTATATGCCTACGATCCTATAAAAGAAAATATATGTATGCCGTTTTGATCTTCCTATTGTTTACACTATGTAAATAAGAATTGTAACTTCTTCGTCCCTACTTAATTACGACTGAATCAGAAATGTTAATAATTTGTTTATCTAACAATTCTTTTAGTTTCCTTTCGAATATTTTCTACCGATATAAAGAATATATACAGAAATTTGTTTATAAACATTAGTTTTCTTTTTTCATATATAAGATAATACGAAAAATTCAGTTCATTAGGTTTTGACTAATGGATGGTATATTAGGAATAACAAACAGATTTATATAATTGAATTCATTGAAACATGAAGATTTTTATAGATAACGGCTTTTCATTAACTAACTGACTTATGTAAATAATAAATAGAACTTACTAATTAAATAATCTATTAATTATTTTGAGCTTGATTATATATAAACATATTGAACAAAATAAACCAAATCTTTAAAAAGATATAAATATTATAATCGTAAGTTGAAAATAAAATAGCTTGGATTTTGGTACATTATATCAGTTCTGAAAGTATAAAATTGCATATAACTTATTGCATTTTTTATGAATGGACTGGAAAACAGATTGTTTTTAGGGGCTGGTATTATCTAATAGTATTACTTGGATCTACATTCTATTTAATCTACAGACATGAATATATATTATCTACAGACGATGCATTCTCTCGATAATCTTATTTATGAAAAAATTCATCGATCTGCTTGTCTACATAATGTATTTTCAATCAAAAATCACAAGACGAACTAATAAGGTTAATATTACAAAATCTTTTCTTAAAGTTCATACTCTTTTTCTCTGTTTTTGTTATATAAAATTCTAGACAATCATAACTTTCTTTTAATTTCTGATATAACATACATACTTGTCAAAATTTTATCTATATTAAATAAAAAAAAATACAATTATATCTAGAAATACGCCTAATGAAAAAGTATTTGAGAACAATGTTTCTGTTTTTAATGACATACATGTGTTCGTTTCGTTTTTATACAGATAAATGTTGTTAGGAAATAAATAAATGCCTATTTATTGTTCTATATGCGTCGTAACTTGTCAATCAATGTCTATCATTAGTTTAACATCGTATTTTTTGTATCTGTTATCATTATGATTTGTTAGATCTTCCCTATACAATTACTTAGCTAACGTATATATTGAGAAAGTATAGGAAACTGGACTCATTCTATGACACAGAGGGAGTAATATAATTTCCGAAAAAGAAAAAGAAGAAAAACTGAACATGATTGATTTATTATTATGATTATTAAGATGTTCTTTATCAGTCAAGCGAATATATTTGTATATAAATAAGAATTCTTTCATTCTTTATTACAATTGTAATGATAATTTCTTTTTCTAATGTAAATGACAATTATTTAGATAAATTGACTTATTTTCATAGTTCACTTGTCAATTTATAAATCAAATCACGTTATATGGTAATAGAATTATGCTATAAATAAAAAGATGATAGATTATTTTTAAAAATGAAACAAAAAGATTGTGAAATTGGGAAGTTCTTTTCATAATAATCATCATCTTTTTAGATTTCTAAATATGACAGATGTTATCATATTGTATTCATAAAACAATTGTTAATAAGAAGAATCTTGTAGTATATAATTATGAATGTATTGAAAAAAAGAATAACTTACTTGCTTTCTTGATCGGAAATAAGTAAAGATTATTCTCGAGGAAATATAATGAATGTCGTTCAAATGAAGAAAATTTTTATTACATGTTTTTTAATACTACTGTCTGACTATATATATGTTAGACAAAACATTCATTAAATTTAAGGTTGAGCTTTATCCCTAGTTAGTCAATAATTTATTTTTTTTTCATAACGAGTCTTATTCAATTTTCTTCAAAAGAAAAGAAGAAGAAGAAGAAGAGGAAAAAGAAATACTTCAGTCATATATAGATTATTATTTATTAAAAAAACAGAATATAAAATATATATTCAATTGTATGAATGTTAAATAACTTTTATTTTTTTGTACTCTTTAGCATAACATAGAAAATAAGTTTTTTTCAATAATAGATTTACTTTTGTTGATATATTTCATTGTACTATAAGATATCTTGATGTCTTCTAGAAAGATAATTATTTATATTTTCTTTTGTGGTTATATTCAAAGTTTTATATATTTTTACTAGGTAAACTACCCATTTTTGAAAGATACTATATTTATCTCAAAAGTCGGAAATGAAAAAAAGATAGAAACAGTAGGTGACGTCAGAATCCTTGAAAGATTATTTTAAGAATAGTAGAAGTGTTTTGATCCATTTTCTATAGCCTATTTAGTCATGTATACAATTGACTAATTAAAAATATTTTCAAAAAAAAGTGTTCATTGAAGTAAATATAATAAATAATTTCTATTTTAATACCAAAATCTTACTTTAGTGCTTTTATTCTATTGAAATTTATAGGATAATAAAAATTCAATGTCATTACATTCATCATTCTTATCATTGTCTTGACACTAATCAGCATCAATGTTTCCATCATGATTAGCGATGCTTGTATCCTCTCGGGATACAATTTCATGTAGGAGTATGACTTGATAACATATGTACTCGGACAGATCTATCTATGGTAATAACAAAGGCTAGTTTATCAATCTTAATTTTCATAGGAACGGAAATTAGAATTTTTCTGTATAGTTAGTTTGTATTATGTACAAAAATAGATAATAAAGAAGAATAAAATTGATTCATAGATTTTCAATACATTAATATTCATAGATTTTGATATTAACTTTGATACTAATTTATATTTACATTTGTAATTCTGTTTTTGCCCTTAAAAGACATAGAAGAATTATTCCGGAAAACAATCGATAAATTACAATGAACTTTGTTTTCAAATGTCAAGATTAAAAGATTTTGATGCATTTCATTATGATTTTGAGATAGGCTGCAATGAGATTGTTTTAGTTTGTAACTATATATCATTTAAATGTACTATGAAAGTAATAAATCTTTAATTTCATGTTTCAATCTTTTGTATTAAAAAGCTATGTAATAAAATGCTTAACATTAAATATTAAATCATATATCAGTTGTTCTCTTGAACTTTTATATTAAAAAAGTTTTGAATTATACATTATCTGAAATATAGTGGAGAACACAATTGGAAAGCGAGATTTTCATACCGATTGAACCAGACTATAAATATGATCATTTTCAATTAAAATGCATTGTTTTTGAGAAATAAAAATATGTATTTCTTAGTGCACTTCAGACACTATTATTACAAGTGATAACAAAAGTGAACTTATTAACACTTTTTACATTAACCATTCTTTTGTTCATGTATATCTATTCATCCATTTAACTAATTTCTTTATTGCAATGTAATAGTCAACTAAATATCTAAAAAAAAAGTTTTAATATTAAGTTTTATAAATTATTCCAGCTTTTGTTTGATGATCTCAATAACCTATGGAGAAAGAGCCATATAATCTATGGGACAACGAGTGTAACCATTATAAATAGAATTATTCATCCTCAAAAATAATATTTACCTAATTATAGAATATGTAAGAAATCATTCGTAATACCAATCATTTCTAAGTACGATTTTTACTATTTGATTAGATAATTTCGGACTAGACTACATTGAATCATTCACTGATGAATGCATCATTTGAAAGAAAAATATAATTATTTATGAATGAATATTAATTATGAAGATAAAATTATAGGTAATATACAAAAAAAGTACTACTAACTCTTTTTTAGAATGCTAGCTTTGTCGTTGATCTCTCCTGTGGATGTCTAGCTTTTTAAAAAGACGGTAAGTACTTCAAGCACTCTAATTGTAATAAAAAAAAGTATCGTGAGTACTATTTCATATATCCTGATGAGATGAAAATCAAATGAATTTTCATCAATGAAACTAATTGAAAGATGTCGCTTATGAAAAATCGGGGTTGTTGTCAAGGTAATCACCTTCTTATGGCAATATTTACTCTAATATTATTCACTCATTTTGATAGAACTTACAATAAAAGTTCGTATGAGAATAATAGAAATAACTTCAAGGCATATAATTCAATTCAACAATGTCTGATTCTGAAGGTGAAACATATGAAAAACAAGTTAAAATTGTGCTTGTTGGTGATGGTAGTTCTGGAAAGGTAAAATGATGAATAAATAATTATTTCCGTTATTTTTAATTATTTTCAAAAAATACTTTAGACATCAATTTCTGAACGATTTTCAAAAGATGCATTCAACCGTGATTATAATCAAACATTAGGAATTGATTATTATTTAAAACGAATTAATTTAACAAGTAGCTAAATAATATATTTTTCTTCAAAAAATAAATATTTATTAATCTATATAGAATCATATAATGTTACATTAGCTGTCAATGATGTCGGTGGACAAACATTAGGTGGTGCAATGTTAGATAAATATATCTTTGGAGCAGATGTAAAATTTAATTATATATGCAAATTTTTTATTTCGTTTTTTTGTATTATTAGATTGTTTTACTTGTTTATGATATTACAAATCTACAGAGTTTCGAGAATCTAGAAGATTGGTATCATACAGTTATTAAATATTGTGCTAGTCGAAAACCGTTATTTGCACTTGTTGGAAATAAAAGTAAGTTTTATTGAAATAATATGGAATTTAATTAATTCTAATATAAACAAACTACTAAGACATCTTTATATTCGAAATAAATAATATATTTTATTCTATTTCAGGTGATCTTGAACACTTACGTGCGGTGAAAGCAGAGAAACATCAACGTTTTGCTAAAGATCGAGATATGTTATCATATTTTGCTTCGGCTAAAACTGGTGAATCTGTAGAAAATTTATTTCGTCAAGTCACAGCTCATTTAATGCATATTGTTCTACCGAAAAATGATTCTGAAGCCACACGAATAATAACAGCACCGATTGTACGTCAAGAACCAACTGCTCCCGCAATACCTATTAAATCTCCACCAACAACAAATACTACACGTACATCAATTTGCAATCTTCAATAAATTTTATTGTAAAAAAAAATATTCTTTTGTAGTTGTGCAATTAAAATTGTGAATTTATATTTAATGTAAAAAAAAATAGCCATAAGGAATCAAACGAATCTATGTTTTGCTAGTTTTTTTTTCGCTTAAATAAATATGTATTTCTCGTATATAAAGCAATAAATTAATTTTCAATAACATTTTTATATTGCTCTTATCTATCAGTCAGTATAGATACGAAGTATCTAAATGGTTTTCTTGATTAAAGTAATATCCATACAATTTATTAATTCGTTGTATATCTTTCGGTTATCATTAATTGAATATAGAATGATCTTACTAACCTGCGAGCGAGATTATCAATAATATATTTATTTATATTAAGCGTGATGAAATGTGTTTTTTCTTCGTATTATTATACAGGTTCACTTAGTGTGACAGAACATGTTAATAATAAAGCCTAGTGTTAAATTTCCTTTCATTTAATAATAAGCTTTGTGTTAGTTCAGTACCCAAGGAAAAATTTTCCTTGTCGTTGCATCTTCCGTTTTATATTTTCTGCTTTGCTTTTCAGTCCACTGATTTTCTCGTTAATTAAAAGAAATAAGTCGTATTACCTTGAATATCATCTTTTACCAGAACTACTTACGTCAATTATCTGATGATTTTTAACCGTTCTATTCTAGTAAGATGATATATCGTCGAAGAGCGACATCATTATTCCAGTGTGTATACATTATCTCAATCGATATGGTCATTAGGCAATCAAACATAGTATTCGTTTTTTTTTGTATTACTGTTGTCTTTCGAATAACTACGTGACGTTCAGATGGTTTGATAATGCCAGTTAATGGATATGAATTCAATGCAAATGATGAGACTAGGTATAGAAATAAAATATAATATATGTGTATATTGATCATTTTTCTTTTGTTTATTAATAAGTTGGTATTATGGTCAACTATCTCGATCGGAAACAAATGATTTATTACATGATCAAGAATCTGGAACATTTTTAGTACGTGATTCAGCTACATTGAAAGGTGATTTTGTACTATGTGTCCGGTATAATTAAATAAATTTACTAGAAAAATATATATATTCCTCTATGATATTTATTATAGAGAAGGTACGAAAACAATGCATTATATTATAAATAAAATTGAAGAAGATGGTGAAACCCCACGTTATAAAATTGGAAGTAATTTTTTTGAAAGTATGCCAACACTTCTTCGTCATTATACAACACATTACCTTGATACTACTCAATTGCTCAAACCGGTAAATACATTGAGATATTTTCAAACGAAAAAAAATATATATATATTTATATTTTTGAACTATTCTAGCTTTCAAAACCAAATACAATATCTACAAATAATAATCAAAGAGATAGTATTTCGTCTTCCATAACTAATGTTGATGTAAGTTTATGATTACTCTAAATTTTTTTATTAGAAGAAACTTAAGGGAAATTATTAATAAAGCCGAGGTATCTACCTAATATAAATATGAGAATATAAGGATTATTTTATTGAGATAAGCAGTAAGTGTAATATTAGTAGAATTAATTAAATTGTCTTAAAAATTTTACACTCACTTGAATTCATCTAGAAATATTACGAATGATTTATATTTGTTTGAATGAATTTGATATTATTCACAATCATTATTTTTGAACCATCGAAGTCAAGATGAAATTAGTGAAGTCATTCGAATGATCCTGCTCTTTTTGAGATTAATCACTATCGCTTGAATTCATATACATTTATTTAGACTAGTCTAGATTCAATTAGAATAAATATTGACTTCTCACATTCCAATAAAATCCATGCATTCAATAAAGTGACCTAATTTTCTTATTTAAATTCTACAATTAAATAAAAGAATGTACTTCATACTTAGTTAACAAATACTTACATATAGTAAAGCAAAGACATTCTATAACGATATCAAAAATATCTAAACTCAAATTTTAAGATATTTACAGTCTTGTATACGTCCGAGGAATTAGTTGGCATTCTATCAAAATACCTAATACTATCTCAACTTATTAGATATGCCCCGAATTCGAGTTCTATATGCATAACTATCTATTAAATAATTACTAGAATGAATATATTTGTTTTTTCTAGACAAGTCTAAGTGAAGAATCCACTAAAATCGATAGTCCATCTCATCAATCATCAAAAGTAATATCTCAGGTAAAGTCCTATTTGTTAAGAATAAAATCTAAACATTTATTAATAATTATTTTCTTTTTCTTTTCAGGCAACACTTGTACTTCCAGCCAAAGCACGTGTTATTAAAGATAGGATACCAAGTTTATATGATAAACGTTCCTTACGTCTTCAAATAGGTGATTTACTTATAGTAAATCGTGCTGAAAGCAATGGTCAATGTGAAGGTACATTAATTAAATCGAATCGTCAAGGAACATTTCCATTTACTTATGTCGAATTTCTTGATGATGAGAATGAACTATCAAATCAAGAATAATTATTATTACCATTATTATTATTATTATTATTATTATTTAATTCTGTCTTGCATGATATTATGTGTAAAAATAAAATCTTTAAGATAAAATATCATATAATTTCTTTCCTTGTTTTGTATGTTTTTTTTTCTAGTCAATTCTTTATTGAATCATAGAGGAGAATAAATGAATTTTTAAAAATAGAATAAGCAAAAAGACTTCTTAAAGTTTAGCATTAACATGAATAGCAACCATTGGATCAGCTTCAGTATTTGAAATTGATATTGGTGCACGTCCATCAGCTTCAACTGTTACTGTTTTACCTGTGCAACGACCATTTTCAACATTACCGGAAATAACATCACAATATTGACCTTGGGGTAAACCAGTTTGAAACCATTGATTAAGACCAGAATCATCATTATTAATAACAATAAATGCTAAAAAAGAGAGAAAGTAATTTTTATATCAAATAAAAGATTTTTATAACTTTCTACTAACCTCTGTTACCACGTGAGAAAGCAATTTGATTGTTACCATTATCCCACCAATTTGCAACTGGTTGACCTGAAGCTGTATTACGAAAACGAACCATACCGTAAATTTGACGCCAACGATGTTCACAAACCCATCCGCCACCACATGAAAGATCACTATTTCAAGTAAAAAAAGAAAACTACATAAAACCGATTATATGTATAATTGATTAACTTACGCATTGATGGGGACACTATTTGTATTACCGTTACTGTCTGATGGTGGACCTTGAGCATCATTATTACGATCAAAATTATAACTTGACATGATTACAGGGTATCCTAAAGAAAATATTTTCATCTAGAGAAATAAATTCACAAGTAAAAATTTACCATAATTCCAAGCAAGCATAAATGCGGTAGCGATTTTGTAGCCACGACTGTCAAAGAATGTTAAAATATCACCACCACCACCTATTCATTGAAAAAAAACATTATGAAATAAAGAATAAACTAAAATTATATAAATCTAACCATGTCCACGTTGATTATCATGATTATCAACCATAATTTGTGCATCACCATCAGGAATCATTCCCCAACCTAAATAAATAACATATAAATTTTTCTTTTTCAACGATTAAGAAAAAATATTACCAGTTCCGAAGTTATTTAAATATTTAAGTTTTTGTCCATATTTCTTTTGTACAACTTCACTTAAAAATTTACCATAACGAAATTCTGATACACGAGCCATCCATGTATAATCTGTATTCTTAATTGTTTCACCACCAAGATCGATAACTTCAAAATAAATAAATGGTCGTTTATTGTCTCCGAATGTTCTATAAAGAAAACAAAATAAATAAAAGTTAGAATAATTTTCTTTTATTTTACTTTGATGGTAAATTATTTAATTTGCCAATCAATTTATTTAAATCATTTGGCCACATATGTTTAGCAGCATCAATTCGAAAACCAGCAACACCAATATTGATTAAAGTATTCATGTAATCAAGAATTTTATTTAAAACATAATCTTTTGATATCAATAAATCTGGTAAACCAACTAATTTGCAATTTCTCACCTGCGTACAAAAGCAAAATTATCATTTAATTAAAAACAATTGTGCTTTTACCTGATCAGGGTCACCATAATTCTCAATACCACCACTGGCAGTTTTACATAAAGAATCACCAAAATCTTTAATAAATAAAATTTAAACATAAAATTTAAATTCAAATCAATTTTATCATACCCCAAGCACTAAATGGTACGGTGGGGAAATCTTTTGATCCTGGATTGTATGAACTACCTAAATATGAAATCAAATCTAATTGACTGAATAAGATTTTATCTGATTTTCTAACCTGCTGAACCTTTATTTCCACCGGCTGCCATATGATTGATAACAGCATCAACATAGATACTTTAAAAAATAAAAAAGATAAAGAAAAACTTTATTTTAGAATTTTACCGAACACCAGCATTATTACATCGATTAACCATATCAATAAATTCTGCTTCAGTTCCACTTCGTGATTGTAATTTATAACTTACAGGTTGATAACGTTCATACCATGGACGATTTTGGATAAGTGCATGTTCATTAGGTGGTGAAACCTATGGAATAATTTATTTTAAATAGAAAATTAAATTCAAGAATCTACTTGAACGCCTGAATATCCATGAGGTCCAAGAAATCGTTCACATTCATTAGCAATATCTGTCCATTTCCATTCAAATAAATGAACAGCAGTATGACGATTAGGTGCTGAATTTGGATCTTTTGTTGCGTGAATATAGCTCACTAAAAGGAATGCACATGTCGAAAGGAGGAAACCAACCTGCATTTTCAGTTTTTCACAGGAAAGAAATGATTAGAATTTCAATATCATATAGGGTTTTATAGTATCATTAGTAAATTGATACTAGTGATTTTTGAAGAAAAATAGACAGATGGTTGGATATTGAAAGGCAAACTTTCGAGAAAAGTAAAGTACAATAGCATAGGTCATATTTAAGGATTAAATTTCATGCAAAAAAAAATTGAATTGAATATTATTTTTTTTAACTGCGTAATTCTATGACAATCGCCTAAATCTTTACTAATTTCTTTTTTTATTTTGATATTTGATACAATAAAAAATAGAGATTAGGACGCAAATTAGAAAAAAAAGGAATTATGGAAAAATTAATTGCGCTGAGAATAGAGCATTTTTTCTTATGTATATTGTATTTCGTACCTTCTCCGTGCATATTGTATCGATGACATAAGTGATAATAGCTACCCTCCCGTTTTTCTTTTAAAGACAAACTCAATGACATTTTTTTAATATTATTCAAAGACAAGAATTTGATAAATTTAATTATGCCTACATTTAGACTGAATTTAAAATCATACGATATGTATGTATACATACACAAGTCTATTTAATATTTAATGGAGACATTTATATATCAAGAAAAAAAGAAATCAAACTGATTTTCTTCTATGTTTTTAAGAATAGGAATAATTGTTGATTGTTTCTTTAATCTTTTTAGATAACGTAATTACTATATTTTGTCGAGTAATAGTGCACTGGCTGCTGCACATATGATTGATTGAAATTTTTCTTGAATATATTTTTTACAAATTTCTAATAATTCTTGCGACTAGCATATGTTCATTGGTATTTATTCGTAACCATTAATTTCTATTTTGTACGAATAAGAAAGATAGTGAGAAACAATTTTGATATAATTAAAAGAAAGGAGGAATGACAAAAAAGAATTCTATTCATTGATTAATAAGGAATGAAGAAGAAAAAAAAGAGTGTAATATCATTCCAATGATGAAATCAATTCTCTAAGCTTATTCTGTTATAAAACAATAATAAATTTTACTTCTACTTATTTTGATTAATTCATCAGACATATTTATTCATAAATTTTACAAGTGTCTGTCATGTCCCAAATGAACAAGATGAGTTGTTCTTTTCACTCTTGTATACATCCAATAGCAAATGAGAGAATTTTTTCTCATCTTCTTTTCTCAATCAATCAACAATATAATTCACATGCGAATCCTACGACTAATAGTATGAATTTGACATAATCACTCGTTTTCCACTCAATCAAGTTTCTTATTTTCTAATGTGTATTCTTTTCAAAACACTATATAATACAATCAATCAACAATCATTTGAAATGGAAACAAAAATAGTTTAGTTTTTCTTCTTCATTTTTACTAAAACTTTTCTTGTATTCTAATCGATGAATATTAATGTTGTTCAAAATCACTTAAATTTAATTATTTATTTAAGAAAAAAAAACAAAATTTATTTACAAATACATCATTCATTTAATTGTGTTGATTAAACAAAAATCAAGTTGCTATCCATTAAAAATGGCATCAGGTGTATATGGGAAGAGACAGACTCGTATATGCGTGTCTCAGCTTGTTGTCTCTTACTCCTGGAGTGCACCTATACCGTTAATGAAATTGAATATACGAAAGCGAATTGACACTGATTCGATTGCGTGTATTGATACTAGTTTTAGTCATCATCGGAAGTGATAACTATAGCGATAGCACAGCAAGAAATCATCTCCTGTCTGGACATTACAGTTCCGTTGATGACACCATCTACACCTGCCTATCTAAAAATAAAATATTGTCGCCATCACTCAGCAGTAAGTCCAAATCGTTTTTCTCCTCTTCTCACAATTATTGTGTGACTAGAGCAAATTATCATCATCATTGTCGAGACTTGTATGTAAATAGTTCTAGACAATCAAAATTAATCAATCTCTTCTCTTTATTGCCGCGCTCACTCAATATATATATACACATATACATATATATACAAAACGCCTACCTCATCAAAACTAGTGGAACAAAAAAAGAAGAAAAGCACGACATCCGTCGTTATTCTTTTGAATACAATACAACTGGTGTACATTCTTGAAAATTGAAGAGCAATTCATTAAGATTTCTTTTTGTGTGTAGTTTTCGATTAAATATAGTCGTGAAATGTACTCTGAAGTTAAATGCATGTGAAAACGGAGATGAATAGTGACACACACACCGATACATCCATCATAACTATACGAAGAAAATTTTAAGACAGATGTGGTCATCGAAAAATATGATGAAAATTGGTCACACCTTTATCTAGTGCCAGACACATTGAAAGATTGACATCGAGTGTTCATTTTCCGGAATTTGACATTCGAACGGAATTGTGCTTGTCTTTTTATTTGGAAATATTTCTAACAAATAGAAAGTTGGATGGGGGATATATTTGAATGTAGAATATAAAAATCTAACTTTTGCATTCCAAAGTGGCCATCTTAATGTTCGGCAACTTTATACTTATAAGATAATTTGATCAGTCTAACATCCGCATGCATAGAGATCATCAGGCTTTTGTTCGCATTCTCTTTTCTTCTCTTCTATCAAATTGGGTTGATTCAACATTCTTTGCGTGTGTATGTATGTGTATGATGGGACTCCCGATGAGACGTTAATATCATTTAGTTAAAAAAGAATGAGCATATTTGTCTTTCAGCTATTTAATAGTAACGACAAAGACTATAATGTCGTTAGTGGCGGCAAATATGATGTTGTGATTCGTAGAAAAAAAAAACAAGAAAAAGATGATGACATGTCCCTCCTGGTCAGAATTTGAATTAATAAACTATTCTTTTTTTTCCATACTTTTCTCATTGCGTGACTTGTAATTTTCTTGTCGATTTACTTTCTATGCAATTGCAATGATAGTCATCTCGTTTTTTTTCTTCTCTCTTTTCCTTCTTTTTTTTTTTGCTTTATACAATTCAAATCAAAATGAAGCATAAATAAAATATGATGGTGTAAGAATCATGCTTTTTCGATCAATTAACAGTTAATATTCGATAAGAACATTTCGCACAATAGATTTTTGTCTTTATATATATATATGTTGGTGTTGGTGATGATGATAACGGAGAAAAGGAGAAAGAGGGTGGGACATCGGGCATGCATTTGCAAAGTGACACATTTGATTAGACTCTTGATGAATCAAAAGATACGAAAAGAGCACTTTGCTTGGTGTACATCCGTAAATCAATGATGTAAAATCAATCGAGCGTATTAGAAGTAAATGAAAGATTGCTTATAGAAGAAAAAAAAAGCAAAAGTAATTAGACCTTTCTTTTTTTTTTTATATATTGATAGACATTCTTATGATAGAAGAAAAAAGCAAGAAGAAGAAGAAGAAAAAGAAAAAAAACTTACTTTACATTAAATAAATGTTTTATAAATAAATTATAAAATTCATGTTAAACAAAAAAAAATGTCTATTCAATTTTTTAACACATTCCTTTTAAAATCAGCATTGACCTTTTATATATACCTGTCATATATATAAAAATTTTAAAGACTTATATTTGAAAATATATATTTGAATAATTTTATATTTAAACATAATTATACCAGTTGAAAAGAATAGTTAAACAGCACAATTAATCTTATACACAACAGGAGATCAGGCAAACCTTTTTCCTTTTCTTTTACTCGGTTCTTTTTTTATACAAAAAGGTTTTATTTACTAACCAATCAAATATTTCTTTGATTTATTTATATTAAAGTTTTTATTCTTATTATAAATAGAAATTAATTGAGTTGAAAAAGCATAAATATTTCTGTTTGTTTCTTTTTTTTTCTTCCTCTTCTCTTTACCCAATGAGGATTCATTTGGTTTAATATTCTCTTCTCATATTATATTAACCAATCAAAATACGTTTGCATGTACGACATTTCTTTTCTTTTTCTATAGCTATTCATTATGAATAGATCAGAATAATGTTGTCCGATACAGCACCACCACTCTAACTTGCTGGGTGCGTGCTGTTTGTTGTGAAGCAAACGACACACAAATATTTTGCGTTTTTTCTTTCTCTCTCCCTCTCTCGCGCGCGCTCTCTCCTTCTCTTACGAGGGGAAGAAGAAGAAGGAGAAGGAGAAGAAATAAGAATAACGATGACGAAGAAAAGAGAAAGAGAAAAAGAGAGAAAGATGAATTAGTTAGGAGGGCGAAAAACGGAGCAAACCGGTTTTTTTTGCAAACAGAGAGACCAATCATAGAACAACAAGTTGTTTGTGAGAAAACGAGCGGAACGACGACGACATACACACATATAAACAATTCCCCCGTGGTCATCAGTACCATGCAGAAAGAGTCAATACTAAATGGTGATATTTCACTTCCACAACCACCACCACCACCATCATCACAATCACTATCACATCATCCAAATTATCCAATGTTACTTGCTGCTCAACAACAATTATATGATTATGCTGTACGTCTTCGATTTGGTGGAGGTCCACCACCACCAGGACCATCAGCATTATCAGGACCTGGTCCACATCATCCGTCATTTAATGATCCACATTCTTTATATGCATTTCATCAACGACATGATCCTCGATTACGTTGTCTTCTACGTGAAGAACCTAAACCGTCCTATTCATATATTGGACTTATTGCAATGGCTATATTAAGTTCTCCTGAACGAAAACTTGTTCTTTCCGATATATATCAATGGATATTAGATCATTATGCTTATTTTCGTGCACGAGGTCCTGGTTGGCGTAATTCTATTCGACATAATCTTTCATTAAATGATTGTTTTATAAAAGCTGGCCGTTCAGCGAATGGAAAAGGTCATTATTGGAGTATTCATCCAGCTAATCTAGCTGATTTTAGTAGTGGAGATTTTCGAAGACGTCGAGCACAACGACGTGTTAGAAAAAGTATGGGCTTATCAGTACCTGATGATGAAGAAGATGATGATGAAATATTACCAACGAATGGAACAGAACATCATTTTGAACAGTAAGTTAACCCAAAGAAAAAAGATTTCTTTTAATTTTAAATTATTTTTTTTTATAATTTAACAAATAGATCATTAGATTTATTAATTGATTTATATTTTTTTCTTTTTTTCTATAGTCCACTAACGAAATTTCCATCAGATGAACTACGTCCTAATGTAACTGACTTATCGCTTTCATCATCGTCATCATCATCAACTACAGCAGCCAACAGTACAGGTGTGACACCAAATCTTCTTCAACGTTATTTCGATGACATGCAACGTGTTGTTGTATCTCGATTAGAACATCAACAAAATCATCATTCACAATTATTCTTCCCATCTCCTCCACAATCTCTTAATACAAGTCGAAATCCTGCAATAACAACGACAACAACTTCAACACCACTTCGTCCATTATCAACAACGCAAAATCAACGAAAACGTTGTTTCGATGTTGATAGTCTTTTAGCACCCGAACAACCATGTTTAATTAAACGACATAAATCCAGTTTAGATGGGAATGAAGATATTTGTAGTCCAGATTCCAAGTCAGACGGTTCAACCGATACAGACATATCAGCTTGAAAATGTGTGTGTGTGTGTTTATATATATATATATATATATAACTAAATATGTGTGTATTGTGTTTCTTATGTCTTATTCAATAATAATTTCTTTTTTTTTTCTTTCTTGCTCTCTTACTTTTTTTTTCTTCTTCTCTTACGAGTGCATTCATAGACCGGCTGGTGCAATCTCTTTTTTCTATCACTCTCAGCAGGCCTAATGCACGCATACACCAATCAAGTCGGTTGATGAAAAAAAAAAGTGACGATTGCTATCGCGTCTTCTGTTCTTTCTCTTCATTCTCAATTGACCTAAATGTATACACTAATCGTATGCATTATACGTATGTTACCTATCTTTTTTTTTTCTATTGAAATTTAACTTGTACATTAACACTCTATTATCAGTCAATAGGAATAATTCACTCAATGACTTCTGTTTTGGCTATTGATAGGATAAAGAAGCGAACAATATTGACACATTTTGTTTTTTACAATAATGACTGACAAGGTGTGAATATACATGAATACACAGCATGGGTGAGAAATATTAGATCATCAATCAAAAAAGAAAGCGATGAAAGTTTTCTCGCATTACATTTTATAAATAATAATTAAAAAAGATTTTTAACTAGAATAAATCTAATGATTGATATTCTTAGTCGTTTGCGGCAAGGATTTAATGTAATCCTTTTCTTTAGAAAAATATATTTTTGTCTTTATCAATGTTTTATTATTCGTACTTTAATAACATATTTATTATCATCATAGATTTAAAAAAATACGCAAATGCGAATTGTGTAAATAAATAATCGAATTCATTATACTTTTCATAAATATTAAACATTAATTTTTTTTGGGAACAATCAGATTAAAAGCTAAATTTTCAATTGATTCTATAGAGTATTTGACACGGTCATATTCATTTTTCAAATATAAATTAAAATAAGAATGGTTACAACATTTAGAAAGCTTTTATTTAAAACGTGAGCAGATTCGCATAGATATCACAGGAAAATAAAAGGCATGTATATTTTGGAAATATACGGAGAGAGAAAAAAAAATATTAAAGCAGAATTGGAATATCACCGAAAATCAGTGTAGCAAATGCAATTGTTTTATTTATTCACACACACACATATATAAATATTGAGCTTAAATAATTTTGAGATTTGCGTGACTACGTAAAAGAAGATATGATGATCATCACCGGAGAAAAGATATATTTTTTTATTGCACGAATTCATTTTTTTATGCATCTGGCGAATAGCCATATCTACGATTAAGTCGAGATGGTGATTCAAATGGATTAAGACGACGATTCATATAATCATTTTCAAGATTATTCATTTGTCCTGGACTCATTTTAATACTTTGTAATAAAGCATTTTCATTTAATAATTGTTCTTGTCTTCTATTACGTATTTTTCCAATGGGTACAGTTGATACATCAATATTTCGACTATAACGTCGTTCAATTTCATCAGGATCCATATTAGATAATTGATTATTATAATAATAATTATTTGATGGAGATGATGGTATACTTTGAAATGCACGTCCATTAGTTGGTGTTGATAGATTTACAACTTGTGGAAATTGTACCTCTTCCAGAAATGGATCCGGTACAAAATATACATTTCTTTCTTCATCATAACGAGATTGTTCAATTACTTTATCAAGATTACTATAATTACAATTACGTTCAACAATATTACTCATTTTTTCAAGCATAGTACGATAAAGAAGTATTTGTTTTTCTTGTGTACGTATTGTATTAAAATAACTTTGACGATCAATTTCAAATTCATGTTGTAAATCTGCATTATCAATTTTTAAACGCTTATTTTCTAAACGTATTTGTTCTAATTTTTTCGATGTAAAATGAAGCTAAAAGTAAAATTTACATTATATGATAAATACAACTTTTTTAAATCATAGCGATACTTAAACATGCACCACTAGTAACACTCTGGAATGTTTACCCTCGTAGCCAAAAAATATCTGAAGGCGGGTGCTGGTAAAGAACCTTGCCACAAGACAAAAAAACCTATTTCCCTGTTGGTGTGTAACCTCCATGCAAAATTCCTGGCTACGCTCCTGATCATAAATACATATAAAACAAACCTCTTCTTGTGCATTGCTAAATACTCGCATCATTACATCTTCATCATTAGTATCAATTGCTTGACTAAAATGATTTCGTTGTTCTTGTTTTTCACGCATTTCATTTAATTTCTTTTTACGTTTCTTTTTTCTTTCTTCATTATTAATTTCTTCACCACCAATTAATTTTTGTTCTAATTCATGTAAACGTTTAAGTTTTTCTTCTGGATTCATATCATCACGTGTTTGTTTATTCATTTTTCCTTTCTTTTTTGATTTATTTAATGTTTGTAATTGTAAATCTAATCCATCAGAATTTTTATTTTGATTAAGTGCATCAAGTTCACTATCATATTGTCCTTTAAGTTCATTATATTTTCGTTCTAGTTCTCGTTTAGTTAAACGTTCTTCTTCACATTGTCGGCGTAATTCAAATGCTTCTTGTTCGAATTCAACACGTAATCGTTCTTTTTCTTTTTCTTCATCATAATCGAGCTGTGATATCTAAATATAAAACAGGTCATACATTCCCTTTTCTTCTTATTTTACACATTTTTTTCTTCTAATATAGGATAAGATAAGAAATATGCCTGATGAAGTTAACAAAATTTATATATCATATAATCAATTACATGATATTATTCGACAAACTGTTCAACGAACAAATCTTGTTAAAACATTTTCACCAACACTTCTCATTGCTATAAGTGCTGGTGGATTTTTACCAACAAGAATTCTACGTAATATTATTAAATGTGAAATAGGTGGTAAATCATTACCTATTCAAACAATAGGTTTATGTTTATATGAAAGTGAAAAACATGAAATATATAAAACTCAATGGATATCAACTGATCTTAAAAATGATTCATGGGCTGTATCATTTAATGGTCAACATATTCTTATTATTGATGAAGTTGATGAAACACGTACAACATTAAGTTATGCTGTAAGTGAACTTGAAAAAGATATTGAAAAACAACGAAATATATGTAAAGAAAATAATGAAGAATGGATCGAACCAAAATTAGGTGTATTTGTTGTACATAATAAAACAATTACTAAACGTGCTAATTTACCAGAAGATTTAATGAAAAATTCTTATTTTGTTGGTGAAAATGTTGGTGGTGAGTGGATTGTTTATCCATGGGATGCTTTAGATATTGATGATCATACACGTTTAGCAGAAAATTGTAATAAAACAAATAAACTTACGTGTCCATCGGTTAATGATGATTGATTACCACGATTAGTATTACCAGCATCAAGAAGTTCCTGTTTAAGACGATTTATTTCTTCTTGTAAGACTCTCATTTGTGCATCACGTGGATCTTCATTAATATGAGGTTTATTCTTGATATTTTTTGCTCGATTAGCATCTAAATAGGTTTTTTTTAGAATTTTAATAATAAATAAATGAAAATTTACATCGTAAAGTTGAAAGTGTTTCTTCATAATTATCGTGAGCTGGACTTATAGCAGCAACCTGAAAAATAAATTATTTCTAAATCTATATTAAAATAGATTTATTTTGTTTTACTTACCATTAATGTTTTTGTATTGCCACCAAGCGAATCTTGTAAAAGACGTGTTAATTTTGAATCTCGATATGGTATATGTTTGGAGCGGCCATCAACCAAAGCAGAAATAACATTACCCAAGGCACTAAGTGATAAATTAATTCGAGTAGCTTCACGTAGACGTTCACCTTCAGCATCTATATTACACAAATCAATATGAATAAACATTTAAAAAAAAATCTTATATTTACGTGTTTTTGATTGTCGTTCACTACCAGCTAAATCAACTAAGTTAAGTTTTCCTGCTCGAATATGTTCTTTTCCATCAACTTCACTTCGACTACACATTTCCGTGAGTATAGTAAAAATTGAATGAGATCGTGATGAATCTTTATTCATAAGTGTAGCACCTGTTGCTCGATTTTTATTACCCTTATCCATTAATCGTTCACAATCTTCTACATTTGTACATTGATGCCATGTTAAATTTTGTATATACACGCCTTTATCTGTATGTTCCTTTTGAATAAAAATTAAAATATGAAATATATATATTTTTAAATTAATTCTATATTACTTTTAAATCAAGTGCTGCTTTAATGTCTTTACCAAGTAAATCACGAATACTTTCATTATATATTTCAAGATATGATGCACGAATAAGATATTTAGTACCAGCTGCTACAGATGATGCTTCGAATATATGCTAGAATTAATTACATGTAATTAATATATGAATAGATAGAAATTTTTACCTCAAATGATCGAGGTATTATACCACGTTGTGGAGACCCAGGTGTGTTAACTCCTTGCATAGTATATGATTTTCCACATCTAAAAAATAGATTTTATTTATGATAGAATTAGAGAACAATATGAACTAAATTACCCTGTTTGTCCGTAAGCAAATACAGTTGCATTGTATCCTTCAAGTACCTGAAAGGAAAATGAATTTTATTTTAATTATCCTGTTAAATAAATTTAAGCATACACTTTCTACAAGTGGAAAAACAGAATCAGTATAAATCGATTCTGTTATGGAATTTTCTGGATAGACAGCATCGAAAGTGAATTGTTTTGGTGGTTCATTAGTTTGTTCAAGATTTTCTAGCATTACTTGATTTGTTTGTGTATCCATTGAGACAATTGTCTAAAATAGGAAATAACAAATTATTGTACTAAAAAAGATGTTTATAAGAATTATCTTACTTGAGATTGTAGATCATTTTCACGTTGATTCATTGGTCGACATCGTACGATGACACGAACAGTTTCACCTGTATTCGATGCAGCCATTATAATGATTACTTTATTTTTTTTTGATTTTGATTAATAAAGTATTCGTTCTGAAAATAGATAAACAGATAGATAGATGATTATAAGAAAAGAAAGTTATCAACGAAAAATAAGCAAATAATATCATAATAATGGTATGATTTGTGCTTTTAGCGCACTTGATCTCGAGTATTCTTTTTTTTATAAAGTACGATATTTAAAAAATATACGCTAAAAAATAATAACCATAATGAGTTATGTTGCTATTCGAGATGAACATATCTACCCTCATATTATGAAAGAGGCCGCTATTATTTAAAGATATATGATACGGTTCGTCAAATGTGTATACCATGGAAACAGAATGAATTGAATGTGGCTCTCTAGAACTTTCCATATCCAAACATTCTATAACTAAAAATCAAAAGTTTATTGTTTGAACAATTTAACTGCGAAATATTCGAGTTAACAACATGTTAAATCAGTTCATTACCAATGATAAGAATCATATTTTTGTTTATAAAATCTTGAATTGATGTCACTGTGGATTTATAATATGTGAATACATCTTTTCTTATTAGAGATTTCGATTTAATTTTACTTTTGCAAAAAGGTTTTTAAAATAAAAATATTTCATATCATTTAACATTGAAACACTATAATATCTGGTTTGAAGTTTTGCTTCTTTTTTGTATTGAAAATAAAACTATGAATAGAAATATGTTTCAATTCTTTGGACTTACTAATGAATCAAATAGCGTAAACACACATTGTGTTAGTTGTTTTGCTTCCTGAAATTTTTGTAGAGAAGAGAATATATATCAAGGATATTTGAGCAGTTATAAGTTATTTTGACGCCACTTAATAACGACATACCATACAAATTATTTTAACATATTTATAGCTTCACTTGGAACATTGAAAATAAGTCAGGACTTGTATACCATCTGTAATTACCAGATTCTGATTATGATAAATATAGAAAGGATGCAAATAATTTCTGTCTGACAAGCTGCCATATTGTTTATAAACTCACTGAAAACAATGAGCAAGTGATCTCTGCAATTTTAATTTTCTAGTTTAAACATGATTGCTGCTTGTGACAATAGATTATGCATTGCAACAACATTTTGATATGTAAACCAGTCTACAATAACGTGAGAAGTCATCTTATCTTTACAATAAGACTTAGCTTCATTAAAAAAACATCGTACACAACATATTCTAATATATGTCATCTAATAATAAACTATATCAAATAAAATTACACTATTAAAAAGCTTTTTACATATCATATAAATGAAAATCATGGAAAAAATGAATGCTCGTTATGATAATGATGATCATTAATATTGTCTATTTTTAGATAAAACTTGATATTCTAATAATTGCTAAAAGATTAAATATTATATGATCATTTAAAACAAACCTTCTTTCATTAATCTGCTTATTAGAAATCACGTTCTACTTATACATTTCACAGGATGTACTTCATCGTTTTATCCAGCTTTCCATCGTTAAAGACAAGAAAGATGTAATGAAATTTTTAATAATCTATCGTCCAATATCTCACTGTTTATTAGTTTGATATTTGTTTATATCGATAATAAATATTCATTTTCAAATCCACCTGCAATAGAAACGCTTAATTGACTATTATGCTTCGATTGAACTTCTTCACTATTTCATGGTAAAAGACGTCGAATAAACTCAATATAAAATAATTGAAGTTTTTTTTTCAGATTTTCTTAAAATATGAAGAGCTTTATTTGATGTTTTATACTTGTATAATCAATATTATTAACACGCAATATAATATCATATAATCTTTAATGAAATAGATAATCAATTAATAAATAATTTTATTCAATTTACTTGAGGGCGTGGAGGAGATAGAATACGCACGCATTCACCCACACCCTCTATGTATGATCAAAGATATTATATCAGAAAAGAAAAGAGGATCGAACGACTACAATATATGATATCTGATCTGGGTAACGAAGAAAAGAAAAAATATCTTAAATTTACAAGAAAATGTCATCGAACAAAAATGACAATAGATGATTTTGAATCAACAATGACAAATACGAAAGTTAGAAGTAAAAGATTTTCGCACAAAATCAAAAAGAAAATTCTATTTAGTTTTATAGCCAGTTGTTGAGTTTCGTTTATCAAATGGAAATTTACCATTTAAAGCAACAACCGTAGCGGGATTAAGCCATCGTAAAGTTCAATGTATCAATGATCATGAATTACAGCTTGATCAAGTTATAACTGCATCAATGCCAAAAATACCTTCGGATATTTCTATACGAAGTAAATTCATTTAAAATTACAAAAGAAAAAAAAATAAATAGTTATTTTTGATTATTGTTTTAAGCTTATTGGCTTGCAATCGAAGGTAAACAACCAACAATCAATGAAAATCCGGAAATACTTCAAAAGCTGATCTAACAACAGATTCATTAAATCCTGTAAGATTTTTGAAAAAAAGAAAAAGTTTTCATTGTATTTTATTGCATTTTTAGATGAAATCATTAATAAAAAAACGATATAATCTTGGTGCATCGAAAATTAAAAATTCAAATCCACATGAACTTTCTTTGGTACGCTAAAAGATACTCATAAGTCATGGATAATACAATATATTTATGTAGAACGTTATTGGAGATATCAGAGTGTTTCGATTCAGATAAAATACTATCAAGTTTTATCGGATTAGTAGCTCTAAATGACTTTTTTTTAAATATCTCATACTCAGAAAAATTATATTTAATAAAATCCATCTATTTCTAAGAAGAACAAAAACGTCAAATATGTTTTCTTTCATTATTGTAAAATAATTTATTTTTCTAATTGATCTATTTCCTATTTTTGGAAACTATTGCTACTCTATTGACAGAAACAAGTCTTCATCAAATTTTATCACAAGTTGTTTTATTTATTTGTGAAGGTGTTCAAGTTAATTTTGTGCAATATAATTTAGTAATATTAATCTATTTAATGAGATTGACAAATGCATTACCGCTCAATTATTTCCAGCTATGACGTCATGTATTCTAGCAAAACAACTCTGTGTTAGACTAGATGCAGATAATCATCGGGCAGTACGCGATCATGCTTCATCACATTGAGTTCAAATGGTCAAGTATATATAGCATTCATGGTTTACGAAATCGTATTGTACGAATATTACTTCAAACATTTCATAGTGAACGTTTACCACTTGTTGGTTTATGTGAAATGGATCAAAAAGTAAATAGATAAAATGTAAAATCAAATAAATTTTGTTTACTTTTATTTATTTAGACAATTGAAGAATTAGTGTTTCCTATAATAAGAACACTTGGTTATCGAATTGTATAATTATGTGAGGATCCATCACTATCAACGATTGGTAAAATAACAATTGGTCGAATTAATCGTGTCATTTATGTAAATAATATTTATTTATTATATAATGAATTTATATAATTTTTATATATTTCGTAGAAATATATTCCACCAACTTATCATACATCACATTCAACACCTGATGACCATGAACATTTTAAAGAAGAACTTAGTAATTTTTATGGAGAACGTTTATATACACAAGTTACTCAACTTCGTCAACAACCAAGATCCACAAAGAAACCTACGCAAGTGAGTGAATCAAGCATCTATTAGACACACCTTGATTGATGATTATCTATAAATGAGTAAACCATCTGTTGTTATATATTATTCATTGTTCCTATACGATATGATATAAAAACCGATAAGAATAAGAGATAAATGTCCGAAAATAAGATTGAAACTTCTACATATTCGAAAACAGCTGTCGACCATTGTTCATCACCAGTTATTATGAATAATTTACATAATAATAAAAGTTTTTATTCAACACGAAGTTTAAGTTATTCCGATATGGATTTATCACAATAACAACATCAAGGTACTGAAGAATTTCATTTATCATCCGCAATGAATATAAATGATAATACTATCCTGTGAATAATATATAACACCGACACCCACACCCACATCCACACCCACACCCACACCCACACCCACACCCACACCCATACCCACACCCTCAAGAATCCATCGAATGAGCGTTACTTGTACTTATTATAAAAATATACGACCATTTTTAAACTAGCTTGATCAAGAAGAAAAAATTCGAAAGGCCTCCCCGTTACAATTTTTATTATTTATGATATATATTTTTTCCTTTTTTTTTGTTTATTTTCTTTTTTTCTCTTCTGTTTAATACAAAATAAAATTTAAAAAAACTATTATATTCTTTATTGAATAAGAACTTTATGTATATCTATTTATTCAAAATTATTTTTGTTGACTTGCAAAAGTGAAGAAAACGTTGTTTTTTGGGCTTGTAAAGTTTTCACAATTCTTCGTCTTCATAAATTGTGAGTTTTCTAGGTGGTTAAATTTTTGGGAGTATTATGGATGCTCTCTATTCTGTGATTTTCGAATGTAGAGTTTATGTATTCTGCGTTTGTTATTTCTTATAATTGTAATATGGAGGAATGGTTCAATAATTATCTCACAAGCTTAGATCTTATGAATTCAAAAGATTAGTGAACAAAAGAAAACATATCGCAATGATATAGAATATATTCAAAACTTAAGAGCATATGTATTAATTTTGCTAAACAAAATGTACATAGAAAGTAAAGACATCATAAACGTTGTTGTTAATTTTTCTAACGGCATAGTAACGGTGTTTTTCTTCCAACATCAACAGATATTTATCACTATCTTTTTTTTTGTAATACACAGTATTCTTTGACGATGTAATTTCCATTATTCTGATTATAATAGACCAACAATGTTGCACAAAGATTTTTTTTCTAACGTTTCTTTGTGAAGAAAATCAAATTATCGTGAAATAACTTTTGTGTTGTGTACACATTTTATATTATAGCAACGTAGAACGGAAAAAAAGAAAGAACAGGCATCATGCTGTTGGACGGAATATATTTCATTTGAAGATAAATTGATTTATTTCGTAAAGCGTTTTTTATGTTATCATATGGAATTAAATTAAACTTAAAGTACTGACATATTATAAACAAGTAAACTAATTATTTTCTACATAAAACAAGATTTTAAGATATATACACTTTTGTCTTCTACCTGCACATTAACTACGAAAAAATATTCTATTTCTAAAAGAAGTTTTTTTAAGATGAAGTTTGCTACAATCTTACAAAAAAATTAAATCATGGTTAGTTCTTATATCATACTCATAAAATAAAAAAATATCTGTGATGTATCAAAAGAAAGAGACATAGTTGTAAAACGGAAGAATGGTTCAAGAATTTTCTCACTAGTTCAGATCTTACGAATTCAGAGACTCATGAACAAAACCGAACATATCATAATGATACACAACATATTCAAAAGTCTAAAGAGTATTTGCATTAATTTTTCTCAATAAAATGTGTAAAGAAAGTAAAGACGTCATAAACGTTATCGTTCATTTCTCTAACGGCATAGTAACGGTGTTTTTCTTCCGACATCACCGGATATTTGTTACCATCCTTTTTTGTAACACACAGTTTTCTATGACGACGCAGTTTTCATTATTCTGATTATAACAGGCAAACATCATTGCGCAGTGTATTTTAATTTAACGGTTCTTTGGAAAAAAATGAAATTATCTTTAGATAGTTTTGTGTTGTGTACACATTTTATATTATTACAGCAATGAACTAAAAAAAAGAACAGTTATCATTCTGTTGAACGAAATGTATTTTATTCGAGGAAAAATATCTAAATATTTGTGAAGATAAACAATTATTGAAGTTACTTTAGAATGCTGAAAAGTAGTTTCGCTTAATTGATTTATTTTATGAGGGGTTTCTTATATTGACATACAGAATTAAATTTAATATAAAGTGGTCTTATGTTATAAACAAATGAAATGATTATTGTTTCTGCATAAAACAAGATTTTAAGATATACGTATTTTGTTTTCCGCCTGCAGATAAACTACGTAAAAGAAATTTATTATTCTTGATGCATGACTTGTTGAAAGTGAACCTCTACTGCACAACCCTGACAAAAAAGTGCATACTTGTTTTCCATCATACTGATGAATTAAAACATATTGTTTTTCTAAATATACTTTTTTCAAAGTGAAGCTCTGCTACACCTTCCTGACAACACAGGGAAGTCATGACTAGGTTTCCATCGCACTGATGAATTAAAAAATATCTATGACGTGTGAAAAGAAAAAAATATAGCTGTGATATGGAGAATCGGTTTCAGAAGTATTTTACTAGTTTAGATCTTACGGATTTAGATACGCATGAACAAAACACAACATATCACAATGATATACAATACATTCAAAACTGTAAAGTAAATTTGTATTAATTTTGCTAAATAAAATGTGTAAAGAAAGTAAAGACGTCATAAACGTTATTGTTCATTTTCCAAATGGCATAGTAACGGTGTATTTCTTCCGGCATCAGCGGAAACTTGTTACCATCCTTTTTTGGTAATACACAGTTTTTTTCTGACGATATAATTTCCAATATTCTGATTATAACAGGCAAACATCATTGCGCAGTGTATTTTAATCTAACGGTTCTTTGGAAAAAAAATGAAATTATCTTTAGATAGTTTTGTGTTGTGTACATATTTTATATTATTACAGCATAGAACTAAAAAAAAGAACAGTTATCATTCTATTGAACGAGATATATTTTATTCGAGGAAAAATATCTAAATATTTGTGAAGATAAACAATTATTGAAGTTACTTTATACTGCTGAAAAGTGGTATCGCTTAATTGATTTATTTCAAACAACGTTTCTTATGCTGATATACGGAATTAAATTTAATATAAAGTAGTCTCATATTATAAACAAATAAACTGATTTTTTCTATATGAAATACGATCGTGAGATATATATATTTTTGTCCT